TGTTGCACATCAACCCAATTCGAGTACTCAGATACATCCCATTTCTTCTCCATTACATTCCAAATCTCGAGACATACGAAGGAAACCTTTATGAAGCACAGAATGAAATGACGACAGATGTAATGAAACAAATCACTTGGATTGATAGCTCTAAATTTGTATTTCCAATGCACTTACTGAAAGACAAATTTACAACGAAAATAAGTGCTTTGAAAATGAATGGAACAAATTTGGAATATCTGAGTCAACTCCCAAACATACGAAAAGTTGTGTTTGATGGAGAAATCAATTTTGGTAGACTTGAACAAATTATCAACGAAGCACATTTGACGACATTGAGATGTGTTGTTGTCTATTCGCAAAACGTCAAAAAACCATATTTGGAACATATTCATCAATTTTGTATTAAAAACAATGACATATTTGTTGGCATTGCAACTAAAAATTGCCAAATACCAATGGATGTATTAGAAAGAAAAGTGCTAAATAACTTACGATGTGCACTTTATGACTATGACAATATGGGCGATTATTTCAAACCAAAAGTCATCAACTTTGAAAATGTGAATTTGAAGTATGACACTTTAGACTCGGCTGTTATGAATGAAATTGTGGAAGAAACAACAAACAGTAACATTCAAACTTTACACATTGAAGTCGCTCATAATAATATGGACAAAATATCTCTTTCTTGTGTTAAAGCAAAAAGAATTGAGTTATTTGTTACACATGGAAAAACACTGAAATTTACCAAATGTGAGACATTGTCTGACATCTATGTGAACACTAAAATGTGTGCTGTTGATCTCAAAACACTTCTTGACATTCAGTCGCTTGAGAGAATTGAAATCAAAGGAAATTGTATATTGGAGAAAACCACAAAGGAACACTATGAAGTGCACATGCCAGAACACTACAAAAGTGTTGTTTTTCACACAAAATTTGCATTAAACACACTTTTTGATTATTCGCAATGTTACAAAACACTTCAAAAAATAAAAATGAACACATCTGATGCTGAAATTGACTTGTTTAAATTTGGAGAATTGCTTGATATGGAAATTGAAAGCACATCTCCAACACACTGCACTCTCACTCTTCCAAACATCAACAGAAGACCAACAACTTTCAATACAAAGGATTATAGTAGACCTTATAAAGCAACTTTGGTATTCAAGTCAAAGAGTGCAAAGCTGTGTGTCTACAATTTGCGCAATTTGACTGAAATTGACATTGAAGGCGACATCGATGAATTGGACTTGAGTGATTGTACGCTGTGTGAAAAGCTGCGAGTTGTTTCAAGTGCAAAAGAGACTCTAATAACACCACAGTCTTTCTATCAGCTTTATCAGTTGTTTGATAAAACAAGGAGCTTGGCGTCCCTTTATTACAACCCAATTTGTTATTCATTCATTTTGAGAGAAATTGCATTAAAAGGGAATGTGAATATCAAGCACAATCAATTGTATTTCAGAGTCGTGTTTTGTGTTGATGTGGATACTAAAATAGACATTGATTCAAAATACATCAATCAAATATCATTTTTTGGTGTTAGAAGATTAAATTTTGGAGATGTCAATGTACAAGATAAAACCGAAATGGAAAAGCAGACAAAAGAAACGTTTGACATTGCTACAAAAAATCGCAACATCAAAATTGGAAAACAAACACCAAAATTCAAACGAATTGGAAATCTCTTTTATTTTGTTGCAGAACACTTGACAGAAGATGACAAAGAAGACATCAAGTTTGATACTAACAGAAAAAGAAAGATGGGAAAATCTCAACAGAAAACAAAACATTCAAAAAACATGTTGTGTGTTGAACAACAATACGATGATCACTTTATCAATTCAGAAGATGAAGATGTCGACTCAAACAATTCCGAATGTCAATGATTTTTAGAAGAAGTACTTATTATTTTTTAAATTAATTATATCCATTTTTAAAACAAATTGACAAAATGATCAAATGATAAAATAATTCAATATATTGTCTCGCTTCTGATAATAATAATAAAAGACAACAATTTATACAAAATTAGTTTGCTTTAAATTCAAAATTATTATATTAAGATAAACGAATTTCTTTGCATCATTTTTCCTTTCAAAAACAACACACGCTATCATTTTATTTTATCGCAAACAACAAGTAATTAATATAATAAAAAAAATGTTTAATCCTCTTTTTTAGTTTCTTTCACCTCTTTGTTTTCTGGTATTTCTTTGTTCTGTGACACATCAACGACTTCTATCTTTCTTTCCATCGGTGCCACTTCTTGATGTGTTCCAATGTTTTCCTGTTCCATTGGTACGACATTTTCACTTAGTTTCTTCTCTTCTTTTGGTGGTTCTTCCTCCATCGAAGAAGCCTCTTTCTTCCTCATTTGTTCTTCAATCAATTCGTTCTCGACGACGATGAACTGTTCTGCAACGTCTGAAATTGTCTTACTGAATGCAATCATTTCTTCTTTCATCATCACCACTTTACTGGTGTCAAATTCGTTATTTGTAAACAAAGCAATGCCATACACCACTTTCTCTTTGGCTTCTTCTAAGACCTTTTTAAAGTCGCTTAAGATCTCTTCAAGACTTTTTTGAGTCTTCTTTTCTTCTTCTTTTGTCTCACAGACTTTCTCAGTCTTTTTTTCTTCGTTGTGTTCCAATTTTTTTTCTTCTTTATTTTCCTTCTCAAAAAGTTGTGCCGTTTGCACAAAAATTTTTGTGTATTTTTGCATCACTTGATCAAACTCAGCAACAACACCTCCTTCTATATTTCTCTTCTCAATTTTGTATTCAACTTTTTCAATAGCATTTTTCTCTCTTTCTAAGCAGATTTTCATTCGATTAACTAAAAATTCCGTCTTTGTATATTTAGGGAAGAACTTTGGCAGATTTTCCATATAAGTGTCTGTGTCTTTCTGACTATAACAGCAGAACATGACTACACCGTTCCAGTCTCTATTCTTATCAAGCCAAGTTCTTATTAAGTTTAGTACTACTGGGCACGCCTTAGTATTTGAATATCCAAATATCCCCGTCGATATACATGGAAACGCCACACTCATTAAATTATTCTTTTTACAATAGTCCATACACTTCTCATATACAGAACTTAATAGTTTGGGCTCCTCTCCAATCGGTCCGACTCCGTGTAAAATCTGTTTGCATGGGATTTTAAAGCCGGGACTCGGAAAGAAACTCCCCGTCGGGCAGTGTGCACAATGGGCTCGTAAATAGTCGAGTAATTCATCGCCCGCAGCGTCGTGGATACACCCATCGACTCCTCCGCCTCCACGCATCCCTGAATTCGCAGCATTCGCAATAGCGTCGATTTTGAGGTTTGTGATGTCCCCCTTATATACCATAACACGACTATTTAATGTAGTGTCTACTGATATAGCCGTGTCAACATATGTCATTTCTTTCAAATCAGACCACTTGGGGAGGGTGGAAATGTCTACTGGTTTTCGAGCAGGGCGTTCGGTGTTAAACCAACGAAACATTGAATCCTTTTTTATTAGTTCTTTTCTGGGTAAGATTCCTTTAAAGTAAATTGTAATATGTTATTACTATATATTTATCATATATTTCTATTGTTTATATTTTATAAATAAGTTATAACGGAAGATTGAAATATTTTAAAAATGTTTTATTACTAATTTGTTTATAATAATATAACTATACATAATAATATACTTCAATTCATACAAATTAATAACAATAAATACTAAGTTCATAATAGTCATTCAATGTAAAACTATATAATTATTAATTTTACTATAATAATATTATACCTAATAACATGTTAAAATATGACGTTTTGATAATAATAATCATTTTTTCAGTATGATTGATATTACTAAAAACAGCAAAAACATTTTTAAGGTAATGAGTATTAAAACAAATGCTAAATAATTGATTATATTTATTAAATATAATACTATTATATTACTTTTATTATTAAGTTGTGATTAATAGTTAAGTATTAACTTTAAATAAATCATTCAAATTAAATTTAATATCATTCAAATTTCTATTAGAAACAATAGTTTATAAAAATAGTTGATAACCCAATGAACGAAATGAATGAATTACTCACTCTAGTTAGAAGAAGTGTTAGTTGAATAATCAGCTCCACCCGCCTTTTTGAGTTTCTTATTGATTTCTTCTTCGACCAAATCGTCTTGGTTAGTGGCATGGATTTCGATATGGAAGTTCTTGACCAAATTGTTCTTGACGTCACCCTTCAAGACGCTCATGACGGCTCTCAACTTTGGTTTTTTGATTCCTTCGCCGGCCCAGCAGATCAAAACGAATTTGACTCGATGGGATTCCTCATCTCCCGAAATAGTTCTATAATAAGCAAATTGAAGTTGGTCATCTTTCAAGAGTGCTTTCACTTCAGTAAGTCCTCCAACACCTTTTCCTTCAAGAACCAATTTGTTTGGTTGGGCATGAGCTGTGAAGACTACATATGTCGTTTCATTCTTGTCATCAATAACATCAGCTATTGCTTGGACGATTTCAGCGTCAGTTAAGTCAAACCCAGACATTCTTGCTTTTAAAGTTTGAAGTCGTTCTGTTATATCCGCGACCACGTGGAAGAGTTTATTTTACAGTTTTTAATTGGTTGTTCTCTCATGGACAATTTATTGCGGTTAAAAGCAAACTTTACTTTTTTATCTTCTTTTCGTTTTTGTTGTGATAAAATGAAAATTTACATGCAAATGTAACCACTATTGTACAAATATTTGTTAATTTGGTATTAGAAGATAACTTTGTGAAAAAGCAAAATGTGTCAGTGAAGGCCGATCTTGGTTTTGATTGTTTTCAACCTTTTGAGTTTTCAAGAAGAATAGTTTTGAAGGTGGATTTTATAGTTCACGCTAAATATCGGGAGTTTCCGACAATTGTTTGACGGCTTTTTTCAGAAGTCTTGAAGATTCTGTTTTTGGGGATCAATTTTATTATTAAAAATAATTTTATCTATTATCTATTATAGTTCCATTGAAAAGAGTTCTCGTTTTTGTGGAAAACAGTTACTGAAATTGTCTAATAATTTTTAGTAAATGTGTTTTTTAATGAAAAAAAGTGCAATAATTGGCAGAATGAAGGTGAAGGTAATCATATTTATATAAATAAATTATTGTTGTGGAATTAATGACAAATTCTAGAATTATTAAAAAAATATCATCAATAATATGGTTCATAACTATAGCATTTTATAATTGATGTTATTATAAATATAAGAATTGTTTATCTGTGATGGAGTTGATCTTTTATTCAAAACAGATTTGTCGTTTTTTAATTGTTTGAAAAAATTTAAAATTTAAAATTTTTTAAATTTATTTGAAAAAAAAATTATTTTTATAATTTTTTATAATGTGTAACTTTGATGTTTTGAAAGAAATTTTTAAAAAAATTGAACACATTTACGAACAGAACAACAACATAAATTTATTATTTTGTACTTCAACTCTTACAAGTCATATTAATACGAAATAAACTAATGATTTTCCTTATTTTCTTTTATTTAAACAATTGTTGATCTCGGGGGTATAAACACAATTATTCATATTTAGTTATTGTTTTTCAACTCATAATTGTTTAACTTCCTTCATTCAAATTGAAAGAACCCCGAAGGGTTGCGTTTGATTCGTGTATCAATTCGATATATTAAATATTTGCGATAAACTCCGTATATTCATTTTATTATTGAAAAGTTAACACTTAAATAATATAAATATATGTAAAGTTGTCAACTTATATGAAAAAATTCAAAATTTTATCAATAAACATAATAAAATTTCTATCACTCTTATTGTTCAGAAGTCTTTCATAAAACCACAAATATTATTTTTTATATTTTAAAGAAGATAAGACTTTATTTGAATCAGATACTTTTAAATGATCAAAAATACAAATAATCAATGGCATCTATTGTTTATGTATTGAAATTATTTACTGTTCAATATAATTATTGTTTTTATAACAAAGTGCGAAATCCTTATTCAATATTTGTGTCGTTTTTATTTAAATATTTGGGATTTGTATATAAACAAAAAGGCAAAATCATTATTGTGTTATAAATCAAAAGAAATTATCATATTACATTAACGCTAATTTCGCTTAAATAATTATAATAATGTTAGACAATATCTTTTTTTGTTGCCACATTCTTAATTTAAAACTTAAAAAAATATTTTCAATACTTAACATCATAATAACTAAATCAACTGTCTTTAATTATATTTTTAATATATATAACTATAAAACAACTATATGAAAGACAACAAAATAAGACAATTATTTTTTTCAAAATATATTTAATTCTAGCCCCTATATTTCCCGAATTTATGCTATGAAACCCCTTAAATGTTATTTCATTTTTAATGTGTATAACAAATAGAACTTTTTACTAATGAAACAAATAGAATATCATCTCCAATATTCAATCTCCGACTTTAACAACAAAATACTAAATAAAACAAAGGTTTTACTTCATAAAAACATTAACTTCCAAACTATAAGTAGTTCAATAAAGCCTTCATTTAATTAGTAATTGTTGTTGTTATTGTAAAGTTCTTTTTATTATATAATTATTATATTAATAGTAAACGATTGAATATCCGAATCAAAATACTTCCATTCTCTCACTCATTCACAATTCAATCTATAAACTAGATTTTTGTTTTCCTCTTCTAGTTTATTTTTAGTAAATAAACTATAAACTTTAGTTCTTTTTCAAGATAAAACGAAAGCAAGTCAAAACGAAAAGTTACTGGCGAGTGGACGCGGAGATAGTATTCCCGTGTTCTTCTTTCACCCCAAAACAAAATGTCGAACGAAAAATGGACATCGCCGGCGGTTAACAAATAAAAAGACGAACTTCTAAGAGCAAAAGACCAAGAACTCAAGATGTGTGAGACATTACTTCTTAAAAAACAAAATCCATTAAGAGAATTCACTCTTCCGGCTGAGATCAAATATATAGATGATGAAAACTCACAACGAAAGACTCCACTCTATAAGCGTCTTCCCGTCCTCAGAAAATCACGAGAAAATAGAAACAACTTTACACTCCAACAGACCTTCTGTATCTGTTTACTCTCTCCCTTCTGTAAAATTACTTTAAAGAAACCTTCAAGACGATCTTCTGTGACGGAACAATTCTTTAGAATTGGAAATATTTACTTTGCAGATAACTCAGAGACAGAGGTGAATGCCTTTTTGAAGAAAAGATGCGATGAGATGTATGCGACAGATGTGATCAGTGGAGTGCCTGAAAAGACAGCTATGAGGAGATATCAAAACAATAAGAAGATTGAAATGATCCACTTCCTCTCGGATTTGGTCTTTTTCAATGGCTATAATCTGACATACTCAGGAAAACAAGGGAAAATCACAAACACTCTTGAGAACATTGATAGAGCAGAGTGGAACGGGTTCTCTCTTAAATTTGATGTGATTATCCCAAAATTGATCGAAGCTAATCATTTACTATTGGAAAAGGTTAATCATTCCGAAGGTGATTATATCGTTGACTCCAAAATATTCAATGGAAACTTCCTCTATTCCGCTTGATGTATTCTTTGTGTTTGTAGCCTGCCTTTCATTTAGTCTTTATTACTTTTTTTCGTAATTTTATCTCCATAATATCTGAAATTATTATTTGTATAATTTTATTATAATATAGGTATTATAATTGTATGGAATTTTACTGGATGATTTATATTTGTTTTTATAATACAATTTTAAATATACTTTTTAAAAAACAAATTTGTTGTTTTTTAAATTAAAAATAGTTTTGTTCAATTATAACGTTTTGTTATAATTATTTTTTTTGAAAAAATAAATTATAAAATGAATTATTCGAAACTATGAAAATATAATAATAATAACAAACAAAAAAATTTTATTCAAACGAAAAAATATGATTTATAAAACTATAAACTATAATATCGTTTTTATCGGAAGCACAATCAAAACACCTCTATTTATGAATAAAATTAAACTGAAAAACAAATTCGTGGTAAATTAATTTCCGTTAAAAAGTTAAGTTCTCTTCGCCGTATTTATCTCTGATCTCTTTGTTGTGTTGTTCGTTTGCAAGGAGGAACTTAGGAATTTGGTCGACAAGGCTCATCGAGAACTCATCAACCTCGAACATGTTTTGTCTGGTTTTGTCCACAAATTCCTTTTTCTGGCTTGGGTCTAAAAAGCTCAAAGCGATCCCTTCGTGTCATTCCACAAATCACAATCTTGTTTTATCAATGAAAAATTAACGAGTTTTTTATTGTTAAAAAAACTTTTGTATTAACATTAATTTTAATAATAAATAATTATAAATAATTATAAATTGTATTATTTAATATAAAAACTTTTGGTTATAAAAACGTTTTTCGTTATATAAAAAAACTCGTTATTTACAATAAATTAATAACAATATTTTAATTAAAATAAATAATAACTTATAATACTAATAGAAATTATTAGTATTATATTATTTATTAATAAAACAACTCTTCTATTATTATTCAAAAATACAAATATGATATTTATATAGTAAAATAATATTATTACTAAACTATATCAAGCATTGTACAAAACAAACCTTTCATCCCTATTCTACCTGTTCTTCCTACTCTGTGGATGTATGTAGTGACGTCGAAGCACTTAGTTGGGTAAGAAACGGGTATTGAGAAATTGACTACGAAGTTGACTGTTAAGATATCGATACCTCTTGCGATAACATCGGTAGTGATTAAGTACCTTATTTTGAATCCTCTGAATGCGTCGATCATATCATCTCTCATAGTGTTGTCACCGCTCATCAAAATACCCGAAGGGATTCCATTAGTATTAAGAAATTGGCAGAGCATCACCGCTTCTTCTTTTCTATTAACAAAGATGATAGCTTGGCCGACTCCCATTTCGAGGACATCAACTGAGTTTTGTGATGGATTGACTCTCGACAGGACTTTGACGACTTCCAACAGATTTTGGGCTCTTTGATTCAACGGCGAAACCACAAAGAGCTGTCGAATGCTTTTAGGAACTTCATCTTGATTAATAAGAATAGTCGCGTGGTCACTCTTCACAAAGTACTTCTCGAGGCGCGCCATGTTCTGTGGGTGTGTAGCAGAGACCAATATCGTTTGCACTGTCGTTGGAAGAATTTGTTTAATGTTCTTCAGACATGTATAGGGGGTCATAGTAGTTGCGTCCATAGGAGTGTCGTCCAATATCGCGTCGGCTTCGTCGACAATGAAAAATTTGACATCATTTGGATTGAACTTTTGTTCCTCCATTCCCTGCATCATCGCTTTTTGAACCGACAACGCAGTGCCTATGTAAAACTGTGCGCACGTGTCTTGGATCTCATATCCCGGAAGACATATCAGTCGAGTGGCTGTTTCAATTTGTTCTGTTAATAAATCAAAGACATCTGCAGTTTGACGAGTCAGCTCTCGTGTATTCAATATAATCACTACTTGACACTGTGGAGTTGTATAATCAATCTTTTGAAGTGCACTTAAGAGAAATGCCATAGTCTTCCCACTCCCCGACTGCGATTGCATCACTAAGTCTTTTCCTTTTCTATGTGTTATTCCTTTTTCATTGAAGTAATTGAGTTCTTCTCATGTGTAGTGAGAATAATAATAATAATTATTATTATTATTAGTCAAATAATGAGCAGAACTCATTTATTGACTGTTTGAAAGAAACAAACAATAAAATCGGTATCGCAAATTCTTGGATCTTCGACGGTTTCTCATAGTGCATCGATGCAATGCCATCTAATAATTCATCTTTAAATGGATAATCAAAGAAACTCGTTATCTTCGTTTCACCTCCATATACTATTATCTCCTCATCTCGAATCACACTGTCCGCTGGGGCTATACTCATCTCTTCTTTTTTCTAGTTTCTTTTAATTCACATCTTGTTTGCTCAATTGTTGTATTATTTTATAATTTATTTATTAATAGTATATAGTTGTATGGTGTGACGGTAATGCATGACGGTGTGGTATTGTTTAATGACCGTTTTATAATTTAATAGCTTTAATACTAGTTGATTTGATTTCATTCAATCTGATTGTATAGTTTGATTATAATTAATTTTTATTAAAATAGTATTGAAGAGTTTTAACATTTAGATGAAAGTTTAAATAACAATCCATCTATCTAACATATTTTTACATAAAAAAAGTATAACATGCCAATAATTTTGAATAAGATATTTTATGAAAAAAGGATTGACCATTTACAAACTATTATTTAATTATAATTTTATTAATAATTTATAATAATAATTCTTTTTAAACTAATTTGATAATTCTTCTAATTCACAAGACGAGACAAAAATCACACAATTTAAACACACAAAATTTCACTGCTAAAAAAAAATGGAAATTCAAAATTTTTTGAACTTCAAAAAAGAAGGTGATTGCGATGACAACTGACCCTAATGTGATTCAGTTGAACCAATTATATGAATATTATTCAAACCAAAAAGTGACTCCGTTCAAAATGACACTAACAGTTCTTCAGAATGATGCTGAACGAAAATTCGTAGATGACTATAATAAAGCATTTCCCGCCACACCTACTACTACTACGAGTCAAGGGGGGTTATATGGGAGTGGTGGCTTAACTGGGTCCCTCTTTAACAATCCCGTATCTGGGACAAGTAGTCTCTTTGGGAGTAATGCCCTCTTTGGGTCACTTACAAGTACTTCTGGGTCACAGAAACAACCTCTTCCAACAGGGGCGCGAGCTGTTTCTGATCCCGATAAAATGGACATCGACGTGTTCTTCTTCCGAGGACTTGAGATGCGTGAGAAGTATCAGTCCGACAGACAAGACGCTCTTTTAAAGGAGTTGGATGACACGGAAGTCCTCATCGAGACCGCCATCGCGCAGATCCAAAATGAAATCCTCGACAAGACCGACGCACTCAAAGTCCGGTCCCTCAAATTGAACCAGCGCGTTATCACCGTGTTAGCGGCTATTGGTATCATCGACGAGGACTCCCTCGACAAGTTAAAAGGGTTTTGTTTGAAGGTCGAAAACTCCGCCATCGAAAAGTCTATCTTAGAAGTCCTCAGCGTCTTACGTGCAAAACCTATCGGCAACAGCGCAGAGGGAATCACTGACGCCGAAATTATTGAAGTCACTAAAATCATCGAAAGCGAACAACGTGAAATCTTGGAACTCGGAAATAAAGTTAAGGAACTCAAGGGAAAGTTTGAACAGCTCAGGTTGAAATACGCAAAGCTTGGAAAGTGAATTGATTGTTGTCTTTGTCTCATTTTTTAGGTTTATAATAGGTTATTTTTTTCATTGATTTGGTAATCTAGTTATATAATTTTATTATACTATATCATTAATTTGTTTTTTAACTTTGTTTTTAATTAAAAATTTGTATTCGAGTACATTTAAACTAGAATTTATTTATACTTTTTTAAATATAGTAAAAGTATTAAAATTTTACTATATTAAGTTAATATAGATTTTAAATTAACACATTATTAATAAAAAACTATAAAAAACGTTTTTATATTTTTTTAAAGTTTATTGAAAAACAAAAAAAGAGACAATTTTTTTAAATTCCTCAAACGTAAAAGTTTTTATTTTTTGTTATTGTCTTCAGATGTAATTTTTTAACTATTTTTGTTGGAAAATATAACAAATATGGCTCCAACTTGGAAATAAAAATTAAATTCCATTTTTTTTTCACTGTATCATAAATTGGAGAATAAATAATAATATAAATTATTAAATATAATACATACTTTATTATTTATTTTTTTAATTTCTACAACAAATAAAAATGTTTATTTTTTCATAATTTATATTTCAAAACTTAAGTCAAAAAACCGAAAGAAATTGTTATTCAATTATCCCCAAGTATACTAAAATTATAATAAATAAAGCTATATTTATTGAAAAGAGTGAAGGAAGAGGTACCATTCCAAATAATTGAACTCCACGTCACAACTTGAAACAGTTTTCTCACGAAACAAGCAATTAAAAACTTCTAAAATTGGGAGTGTAGTAATGATTTAACTCTAAAGTCCAAACATGTCCGTCATATTAAGCCTTACAATACTTCGTGGGAGGAATCTCCCAGTTGCCGACATCACCACATCAGATCCCTACGTCAAATTTGTAGTAGGTGACAAGAGTTTCAAAACTTCAGTAATTAAAGAGACGTTAGATCCCATCTGGAATGAGACTTACCAAGTGATAACGACTATAGGGGAGCAGTTGATCTTTAAAGTGATGGACCAGGACTTTGGGAAGAAAGATGATTCGATTGGGAATTGTTATTGGAATGTCCCAGCGATGTCTAAAGGGGAAGTGGTGTATGATATCCTTCAAAATACGATGAAAGGGTTTTTATATATCAAAGCGGAGTGTTTATCAACTACTATGGAAAAATCAGTCACTCTTTTTGATTTTGAAAAAAAGACTTTACTTCGAGTTAAAGTCCGGAGTGTGTATAGTTATTTAGACTCTTTAATTCCAGTCTTAAAACCTAAAGACGTGAATTTAAAGACTTTAGCAGACATGAGATACTTAATTGACATCGGATGTACCTCTACACCACCACAACGCCTCTCTCGTGTTATAACAGCTCGTGACAAACCAGCCGGCAATTTTGTTGAATTTGATGATGAGATTTATATTCGTGCAATGGTCAATGAAAAGATTTATTTTAACTTCTATGGCAAACAAAAAGGGGCCAAAAATTACACAGAGATCTGCGTCGCCGAGTTCCCAGTTCCCGATTTCTTACAAGACGAAAAAACTATTCAAAAAATTCCATTTAAGACGCCGGGCTATGTCGAGATTTTTGTTCAATGCTTAGACAGCGTTTATAACAACGTCGACAAAGAAAAAATCCCAAGCAAAAAAATCATCAAAAATTGCCACCAAATCGTCCGAATGAAAATCTCCGACTCAATCGGTTTCACTTCCTTTATGTACCCTTGTTGCATCATCGAGTTCAACAATCAAAAGTTCTCCTCCTCCCCCGTGTTGTATCATAAAGGCGAAGTCGACTTCAACGCCTTCTTCAACGTCGAGGCTAAGCCCGGGACTCAAGCCTCAATCTCCGTTTTTAACAAAGACTTGAACAAACCCAATGAAAACGGGAAACTTCTCTGTGATGGAAAATTTGTTGTGCCCGATGTCAAAATCCACAAGGAACCCGTCGTGATCGCATTTAACAAAACGACAAACCTCAAAGTAGAGTTTTTCAAAGTGGGTGGCGTGTCGAAGTATTTTGGTGACGTGTCCACTCAGAATAAGAGTGAGAAGACGAGAGAGAAGATTGAGTTAGTGTTTGAAAAGTTTGATAGAAGAAGAAGAGGATATTTGGATAGAGCACAATTCCGAACGGCTATCCAATATCTTGTCCCCGTCGTCGAAAAGACTCTCTCCGTCTTTATCTTCGCTTACTTTAATAAAGACGGAAAAGTCTATTTGGATAATTTAAGAGATGCTATAGATGTATTAAAGAACCATAACACGCCAAAAGAAATCACTCAATTGTTCTTCGACTACGTCGACTTGGACCACAGCGGAACTATCGAGTTCGACGAATTTAAAGTCTTCGCACAAAAGACCGGACTCGCTACGGACGACGAAGACTTGGAAAACTTGTTCCAAAAGTACGACGTCGATAAAACAAATTTCGTCAGTTTCCAACAATTCGAGAAAATGGTCCAATCTCTCAAGTTCGAAGAATAGTCTTTAACTCATTAATTATATCATCCATTCTTTATAGAAAAATTACTAGAATATTTCGATAAATATAATTTTCTAATATATTCTAATATATTTTACTATTGTCTAATCTAAACTTAAAAAGTTGTTATTGTTAAAAAGTACTAAAAGTTTATTATTAATGGTACTATATATATTGTACAGTTTATAATAAACTATGAACTATAGAAGAAATGTTTTAGTTTTATTTTAATAATAATAAAAACAATTATACTTTTACTATTTATAACTGAAATTAAAACTATTACATTTGTATTCTTATTGGATACTATATTTAACTATTGATAATAGTAGTGTTTTGTAAAAACACCTTTTTAACTATTTTAATGTGAAAAAAGTAACAACTCGACAATTGATCAACAAACTAGGTATTATAAATAAAAAAACCATTATTAATAGTAAAATTACAAACAAAAAAAGAGAGACATTTAGTTTTTTGAAATGACCTTCTAGTACCCCGAAAAAAGAGGCACTACATAATTTGAGTGTTTCACAATTATTCCGACCATATAAAAAAGAAATTCCCTCTTTGGTATTTAATTGTATATTTCTCATTAAAAAAAGAGATAAAAAGAAAAGCAAAATCTGAGGAAAAATGCTCATAAAAAAAAGTTAAAAATAGACACATCAATGATTGGGTGAAAAAATAGTATCAAAATCCCGATATATTAGACGTAAAAATGCTATAATAACCCCAATTTTATTCTCGACAATTACTTTAATTTCTGGATTTCTAAGAGAAAAAAATATCAGAAACTCTCTAATACTCTAACTACTATCACATCTTATGAAGCCGCAGCAGAAGTGCTGTTACGTCGTGACACTCACTTTTTATTTCCTGTTGCTCCTTTTGGTATTAGCTCTCACGGCCTTCACGGTGACTTCCCTTTTAAATCTGGTCTACAACAAAGACCAAACTCTCAACGTTTGTCTTCCCTTTTCAGACTCAAACTATTCTCCAACGGAATTTTAAATCCAACTTATCCAAAGATCTTAGGCGGGTCCTCTGACAATTTGAAATGTGGGGAGGGCGACCTTTCCAACGCGTATCCCTTCGCTTTTACTCTCAGTTTGTGGAATACAAAAATGTTATTCAAAATGTTATTCATATTTTAGAAAATTCAGAAACCCGTTTCCAGTGTGGATATCCACCTTCAATCTCTTACTTAACATTCACCGGACTGGCATTCGCGTACTTTTCTCTCGTGACGGTGTTCTTCGCCGCTGTTATCTTTCGGAGAGCTTCGTACTCGTTTGGAGTTTGTTTATAACTATTACTTATTAGTTCACCAAATTATATTTATAGAAAATGTCAACTCTATTTAACGCTAGTTATTTATCCTTGGTGGAGTGACGTGTCTCATCTTTATTGGCGCCATTACTTACCAAATCATATTCCTCTCGAAGGGTTCTGATTTTTGTGCAAAGATTGTATCTCCAAAATTTGCGGATGGTGTCAACTGTTCTATCACCCCCTTCCTCGTTCCAATAATTTTAGAGGGGATAACTATTCTCTTCTTTGTTTGTTATTTGTTACTTCTTAGACAACAACACTCTCTTATGTGGTGAAGGAGTACAAAGAATTTATTCAATTATTTAAATAACTCAAAGGCTATGAACCCAATCATCGGCTGTAGATTCATTTTGGTAACAAAACCGTACATCCCAAAAACAAGATCTACACCCGAACGACCACTCGAATACGAAATGCAAGACATCGTACCACAAAAGGTACCATCAACACCTCCTTCTCAAACCCCAACAGACAGAAAAGATATACAAATTATGATCACTCCAGATGCACACACGCAATTATCCCCAAATTCTGACGCTCTCAAACAAATCGCTCCATCCCCTCAACTGCAACGGGAATCCTCAGTATAAATACAACACTAACTCTATACATTACACCCTTCCCTTCCTCAATTAACAATTCTCTATAAATAACTTTTCAAACTAAAATTATAGAATTGTCGCGAGACATACACCAAAATTCAATTCTTCCTCGGCACGATCATGCCAACATTAGTGCTCCAGCTCCCCATGTCTTCTTTCTTCTCTACAACAACACCCGCAACATAGGATCCCAAAAACGTTTCTTTGTTCTCTCTCTTCTCCTTCTCGACATTTTCATGTACAACCTTTTGTTCGCCCCACCCGTCCGTCGCTCTTTTCTTGTTAAGTTCCTCCTTTCCTTGTTTATCGATTGGTTGTGGTGCTTTGAGTTTCTGTGTTTTTCCCTCTCTTTTCTGGGCGACATCCTCTTCCATGCTTTTCTCAATTCGTTTAAACTGAATTTGCGCCTGTGCTAATTTGTCACCTTCACCGCCTTTCATCTCTAACAGTTTCTTCGGCGATCTTTCAAGACTTTCCTTCTGAAAAATGCGAATCAGCGAAGGAGGAGTCATTGGATTTAATGCAAACGGATTAGAGTTAAGTATATTGAGTACAATGCCTTTTCGGAGTCCATCGGCATACACTTGATAATATGTTGTCGCGTTGTACCCCATACTCTTTAACTTCGCTGCGGCTGCTGGATTGGGCGCAATCATATTTAATACATCCTCGCTGTTTAATTGACTCCCAGGCGGAAAAGTTTTGAGGGGTTCATCAGATGGTTGTATCGTGTATTCACTCAGACTCTTCTTTGTGATGAAAGGATGTTGCAAAGCTTGATCGGGCCGCATTCGACTCTCGGGGTCATATCTGAGGCACTTCTGAATGAAATCCAGAAAAGCTCTTCTCATCTCAATTTTTCTTGGTTCGTCCTCCGCACTGACCCTAAAATTAACTTTCATCGCAATGTCTTCGAGACTTTTATATGCAAAATACTCTCGATTCGGCTCTGTATACACATCGTTGTCACTTTCAAACTCACGTTTCGTTTTTAATATCCAGACGTCGTCGTTGTCTTTCATCTCAGCAGGTCTCTTTCTCCTGAAGTATTTTTCCGTCTTTTTTCCAGCATCGAGTAGTTTCTTTGGTGGATATCCCAAAAAGTTGATCCACTTATACAACATGTTGTACTCGCTGTTTCCTGGAAAGATTGGTATCCCAACAAAGAGTTCCGCAGCCATACAACCAAAGGACCACATATCAATGGCTGTTGAATAGGGCAACCCCAATATAACCTCTGGTGATCGGTAGTGCCTGGACTGGATATAACTGTATAAAGTGCTATTTTCAAAGCAAGCCGAACCAAAATCGATGAGTTTGATCTTCTTTGTCATATCTACTAACAACACGTTTTCCGGTTTCAAGTCGCAGTGTATGATCCCGCTTTTATAACACACGGTGAGAGATTCGAGTATCTGTGTCAAAATGTTTCTTGCAAGACCCACAAAAAGGGCGCGACAATTGTTTTGTTTCATCAGTTCGTACAAATTGATTGAGAGCAATTCAGTTACAATGCAAATGTGGTGATGGAAGACAAAGTGGTCAACCATTCTTAGTGTGTTACTCGTGTTCTCGACATCAAAGCGTTCACTTAATAACTGTAATATAGCAATTTCAAGCATCGCTTGTCTGTAATAGGCGGGGCGGTTTTTGAGAATTTTGACAGCAACAAAGACTTTATTGACCTCGTCGTAACACTTCACAACTTGTCCAAAGGCACCTTCCCCCAATTTCGACAAAATGCGATAGCGCGAATTAGGCCGTTTCCCATACGCGGTGACACCCACAACACCAGTACCAATCACTTCATCAGTTGTGATGATGTAGTCATACTTAATATTATCCTTCCCGTCATTGTGTGCCGGGGTGGGCGGTGAAGTGATGACGCGTTTTGACTTAATTCGTGAGAAGTCCAGGCATTGGTTGCACGTCCGGAGAGCGTCCACATACCCCACAGTGCTTAAGCGAACTTTACTTTCCTTCTTGTTATTTCAGCCTTAAATGTTTCATCGTTCCACAACAACTCATTTGATTTTGATGGATTAAACAACAAACTAAATCAATCACTCGTTCCGTCTTTTGATCTTCAAATGGTTTAAAAAAACCATCTTCCGATGCTAAATAGTTGACGTGGTACTCATTTGTTATATATTTTTTTCTGTGGTGATAACTCGTGCTTTTCATTATATTCCTTTCAAGTTAAATCTTTTTTCATTTCCTTTTTAACTCGAGTTTTTACCACCTTCTTTCCAACCAATTACTTTCTTCCTTTTTTTTTCCATTTCCTCGAAAAGTATAGTTCATTAATCTTTGTATTTACTATATAAAGCAATAAAGGATAACTTTTTAGATTCTTTTTAACAGAAATACTCCAATTCACAACGAATCTTTGTTTCGAAAAGGAAAATTAAGTTACTGTACCATATATTATAGTTTCAATTATGGTATTATTTTTTTTATTGAAATGTAGATTCATTCGAATTATTTGATCAAATAATAAAACCATTTTAATTTGTACAATTATATTTTTTTTAATGAAAAAAAAAATATTCTAATAATATAATATAATTATTTAAAACAATCTTAAAAAATTGGATATTAATTTATAATAAAAAAATTAACTATTGTATATATGTTAAAGTTAAAACAATGAATGAACCTGTAACTATAAAATCAAGTAAAATTTACCATAAAATAATTTGTGATACAATTAAATTACAAAAAACTATAAAAAAACTATAAATGTAATACTATGAAAAACTTAGTTTGTTTGTTGAGCAAATTTTCTGGCTAAGGAAGAGACATTTTGTCGTGGGGATCCGGCCGAAGTAGTTTTTTCGTCTTGCATAGTTTGTTGTGTTTGCACTGGTTTGGTTGGGGTTTGTGGCTTTGGCCTAGTGGGGAGCGAAGGTTTTTGGCTTTTTATTTGGTTTTCTTGTTGTACACGTGGAGAGTTTTGTAATGACTTTGGGTTTTTCATTGTCTGTGCCCGAGACGCAGAGACGGGGTTGAGCGCTTTACGTGTTGTTAATTCCTGAACTATTGGAGACACTTTCGTTCCGGCAAGGGTTTGACGAGAGAGGTTGAGATTTTGGTGAGATTGAGAGAATGATTGGGCAACGGAAAGGGGAGGTATTTGGGCGGAGTTTCTGGGGGACGTTTCCAAAGAAGTTGAAGCCTTTTTCTTGTGAAGAGTTTTGTTAATAAATCCCTTACTTTGTGGGTAATCTTCATTCATAGAAGAGAGGAAGGTTGGACTTGTTGACAAGAAATCCAAGCACTGTGTCCGCCTATAAATCCCCGAATCAACATCATCTGGGAAAAGTGTTGGGTAGTTGTCGATAACGAAGATCAGGAACGCGATGACAATTTGCACAGTCTCAAATGAGTTGGTTGCAGTCCTGATGATACAAGGAGCAAGACAGACAGCAAGGTTTTTCGCGTCCATCATGTTGATGTCCTTGTACATCGTGATTTTAAAAGCAAGCTTCATTAACCCCTTGAACAAAGAGAGATGAGCAGCGGGAAGAGAATGAATCAACGCGTTTGCGCCAAGCGTCTTCTCCTTGATACCAAACTTGCTGATTGCTGCGCCGTTCCACGTCTCGAGAAGTGTTTGTGTTGTGTTGTTGTCAATGACCGACTCGACCATGTTGCGGAGATACGACTTCAAGACGGCGGCTGTAACCTCAGGCGGCTGTTGCTCGAAGTTAATGAACGAGATACTCAGTGCAAGCTTTTCGACTTGCTCTTTGTTTGCCAACGAATTTTCTCTGAAAATCCCATTTGTGTAACAACCTTTGACGTACAAAATGCTGATGATGTCTTCAAGTGCTTTAGGAATTTGTTTCGTTGTTCTACCTTCCGCAGCTAATATACTGATAAGTGGTTGGTGATATATAATATTCTTTTCTGGCGCGGGAGTTTCACTGTTTGATTTCTATTTCTCAATTTTATTCACTCATTGTACATTCAACGCGGTAAAAAGAAATAAAAGAACAAACGGCGACCGCCTTGTTATATATCTCCTGGAACGGTGTGATATTCGGCAAGTAATTTAATCCGAGCAGGTAGTGTGAGTTAAATATTCGGAACATATCCAAAAACAACATGGGAGTTTGCACTCTGAGGTACTCACCAATTTTGTGTGTCTGTATTGCCGTCATCTCATTCACTTCGTTCTTCTTTGCGTCTTTGATTGGCTTTTTCATTGAGTCCAGATACATGTTGATTTTCTTCGTCGGTTCCATCAACACATCGGTGACTTGTCTTTCCATCATGTTGAATGTGTCGCAGACACTGCGAAGACCATTCACGATGGTAATCAGTGATGGGACGTCTACGAGTTAGTTTACCGAATAAGGAAAAAGTCCAAAGTTGAAGTTTCTCGATGATGAACAACAAAGAATCAAAGTACAAATCCCGAAACAAGACATTAAAAGTGTTTCACATATTACTCAAATGCATAACTGTTATGATCTCATTTTATACAACAAAATCGATTTGAGACTTTTATTGTTTGGCATGTAAAACAAAATACAAATACATTGTTTCTCTCTAAAACACGCTTAATAGAAGGTTTAAAAATAACAAACCAATATTCACCGGTTTGGGGTTTATGGAGACGATGAAGTCCTCCAAGTAGTTTCCATGTTTTGTCATCGTGTTGACTATCTTTGTCAATCCCGCGTCCAAGTTTTTGACAAACTTCGTTTGTTTCTCCCAGAACATCAGAGTTTCGTCGAGGAGTTTGTGGTCTGCCTTTTGTGTAGCAATCATCTGTGTATTCCCAGTCTCTGATTTCTTTGGTATTTCTTACCTTCTGATCTCTAAACTATACGTGTAATTCTTTTACTATACAATATAGTATCAACCAACATTCCAACCAAAAAAGTCGAATTACAGTGCAGCAAATCACTTTTTGTACGGCCCGCAGAATCCCTCGAAGTCTGAAGTGAGGAAGAGTGGGTAGAAAAGATACTTTTCTATCATCGAGCACCAGTTCCACGCGGACGTGAGTCTTCCATCAATACAACTTCCACCATCTGATCCACTTCCATCGAAGCCATGTTTGAAGAAGTCGCCGTAGATATATGTACTCCAACTCTCTCGACTGATTCGTTCAAAGTACTTTTCAAGGCGCGGATCTCTGTCTTTGAAGACACGAGTCGCTGTTTTAACGATTGGAGAGACTATCCATGGGACTTGTGAGTACTTGTCGATGAAGAACAAACAGTTTGGAACGTCTTGATCGCCCATATGGACAACACTCAGTCCTCTCCACCCCGTCGTACACAACTTCGTTTGTGTATGTGACAGTATTTGGTACATCGCTCCCGACACATTTGGCGCACTTTGCATGCGCTGGAGGCCTTGTCCCGTGTTAACAAGGCGATACGAAGTTCCACTCAGAAACTCTGCGTCGGTGATCTCCCACAAGTGTGGCATGTTCTGCATGACATTCCACCACAACGTCAGACTCTGTGAAACAAAAATGAGTTGTTCTGCGTGGGAATGACTTAAGCAACTTCCTCTTGTACCATATCGAATGGTCAAATCAGTATATTTAGTCTGCTCAGTGAACCTCTCTTGAAGGTCTTTGAGCATCTGGTGAACGACTCCGCAGTTCGCAGAAGCTGCCGCGAACCCGTCCGAGACACTTAATAAGAGTCTCTCTGTGTTTTCTCCGTAGCTATTAATCAAAAACCTTCTCGCCTCTTCTTTCTTGCCGTTTGAAGTCTTTTCGTCTGTTGGCAAGACGGCAATTTTAAAGCACTCTTCATTGAAAATGCCCATCATGTTGTTTTCTTTTGCAAACTTGCCGACGGTCAAAATCTCTTTGAACTTCTTAGTCTTTTCAAAGTTCTTTCCGATGAAGGAAGGGTTATATAAAATCGCGTCTTGAAGGATGTGCATCATCTCTTGGTACGTTGTTCTGAGCAAATGGGGGTTTGCTATTTTGAATCGCCTTCCCACCTCGAAAGTGTCTTGTAAGAAGTCTTCAAATAATTCTTCCTTGTTAATGATCTTCAGACATTCCTTATAGTTATACGACATCATAAGACCAATTAAAGTGTTCCGCAGTTCTTCATGTTGTGCTTTGATTATAGTAGCTTTCGAGTACTTATTAATTGAAACGTCCATAGAAGAGTAAAAGTAACTGGAACCAAAGTAGTACATCCCATATTCACTCCGAGAGACATCAACATTGTTCACATACTCAGAGACATCTAAAGCAGACTCTAAAACGTCTAATAAGATTCTTTCACGGGGACTCAGGCGCATCGGCTGATATGAAGAAAATGAAACAAAAGAAGCTAATGGCATGCGCTCTAAATAGTCCCGATACGTCAGAGAATACTTCGTCTTGTCGTCCATCTCATCATGAAGAATTTCTTTGTCACTGTTGTTCTTCGAGTCGTTTGGGGTTGGGCTTCCACTACTTGACAACGATAAATCTTCTAACATATTTCCCATATCGGTTGTACTCATTTTTTAACTAGTTTAAAGTTGTAATGACAAACCTATATATTTACTCGTCTTGTGCTCTTCAATTTCTCTTTGAGAATCATTTCATTCTTAAATCATATAAAAATATCTTAATCATTTTTGGTTTATTTAAGAGCTTTTTTTCGTTCTAATGTTAATGACGTTTATTGGTGTATATTCTTTAATTAATATCATAATAATACTTATACTATAATTAGTATTTAAATAACAAATCTGTTTTTAAAAATCAAACCTCAATAAGTTCTAATTTTAGATAACAGTATAGTACATTTATAATATAAAACTACTATATCACATAAAAAACAAAAAAATAATAAAGAATGGTATTTTATAGTTTTAATAAACCATTTTTAAATATATATTTTTTATTGTTATTAAAACTATTACAAAATAGTTTCGACCAACTAGTTAATTCAAGAAAACTTGAACTTGAAATAGTTTCCCATCAAATTCCTCAAAGCGATTGCGAGGTTTTGGCAGTAAAATATCCGTTTATAATTCGTCTAATTTTCATAAGTTGTTTTTGAAGATAACAATTTCCGACTCAGAAGTGTGAAATTATCATTTAATTTATATATAAAAGCGCACTATTGAGACAAGATATCAACGAATCAAGTATCTTGAAAATTGGGTATAAAAGGGAACTGTAATAGTGCAGAGACTTGAATAAAATGGTTGATAATACGCCAATAGTCTTGGATATAGGAAGTTATAGTATCAAAGCTGGTACAGCCGAAGATGAAGCTCCCACATGTGTTCTACGAACGATAATAGGGAACAAAGGTGACGATAAATATTATGGAGAGAGTGTTTTAAATAACAAGGAGAGCTTAGATGACTTCCATTACCCTATTACCCGTGGTAACATAGCTGACTTTGATGACATCGAGAATTTATTAAGGTATGCATTTGATGAGAATATGCAAGTAGATGCTTCTGCAGCTCCAATTATATTAACAGAAGAGGCCTTATGCCCTAACCTTAGAAAACAGAACTACGCAGAGCTTTTATTTGAGAAGTTTGAGACGCCGGGGTTACTCTTTGAGTTAACAGGCAACTGTGCATTAGTCCCATTAGACCTTTCCACAGGGATGACTGTAGACTTTGGGGAGTCTTTTGTTTCGATGTTCCCGTTCTACAACTCAACATATTTATTCAATGCATCAGACAAACAGGCGTTTGGTGGGTTAGACACTTCCAACAACTTGGCGACGATATTAAAGAAGAGTGGCATTGAACTTGACTTACAGAAAGATAGAGAGTTACTTAACACTATTAAAGCAGACTGTTCAGTACCAAGAATAGAAGGAAAGGAAGACACCATTAAGGAGTATACCCTCCCCGATGGGAGAACAGTCTCTATCAACTGTTGTGACGTCATTGAACCACTTTTAGTCCCCATGTCAATCGATAAGAGAAATGAAATGCAAGGCGTCGCCAAGATGATCGTCGATTGCATCAACAAGTGTCCTCTCGACTGTAAAAGTGACTTATTCAAGCAAATCAATTTGGTCGGTGGCGCTGCAAAGATCAGTGGACTTTCTACTCGTATCAAAAATGACGTCGAGAAGATCTTGAGAGACTCTAATAACAGAGCTGAAGTCGCCGTCAATGTCTATGACAATTCTGATGTCCTCGCTTGGTATGGGGCAGCGTGTTTAGGTGCACTTGGATCAACCGTTGAGTTATATGCTACAAAGGACTTTTATGATGAAGAAGGGGCTCAAGCCGTCGCTATGAAATTTGCACGTGAAGGTTAATTTTTACTGTTGGAATCCTTCGAGTTTTGATTGAAAGTGTTTTGCCATACAAATAGTTGAGTTAATAGTTATATATCAAATATACTATATTTATTATAATTATGCTATAATATATTATATACAATGTATACTATATTTAATTATAAATATATTATTATATAGAGCTTCACTGGTTGGAATCAAAAATGTCAATTAGTTCGTATGATCATTTTTTTACTTCTTAAATATCGAAGTTTATATTTTTTGACTGAACGATTTTATTGTGATTATATGTATTATATTTAATAATAAATTCAATTATAATTAAATACTAGAACGAGAAAGTAATAGTCACACCTGTATTAACCAAATATGGTATTTTTATTATAAAAATATAGTAACACACCCGAAGTGAGCCAAGAAAGAGAAGAACTTGAATCCCTCAAAAAATGGGGAATACGACAGGCTCTGGCCGTCCATCACGGCTCTCATTTCAAGAACAAGCGCAGATAACACGTCTTTCTTTACCGGCTCAACACAACCAGTTGACACGAAGCAACATCGAACAGATCATTCCTTTAATGCGGGACATTACAAATGTCTTGAAGCTTGGTGCGGTGTCTAAGAAGTGTGCCTCATCGATTATCCTCTCCAAGAAAAATCCGTTTTACTCTCCGGACACTTTAAAACAAGAATTGATCATCTTCTCTGGCATTAAAGTGGTTCAGACGTCCGTCCAACATCTCTCAGAAGTGCCTAATGGCAAGACAGACTATTTCTATAGTGTCAAAATCAATTACGAGAGTGAAGAAGACATCCCCGTGAATTGGAATCTCTATGGCCAAAGTGTCTTGTTATTAGAATTGCAAGTGTTAAAAGACGTCGAATTTAACTTCAAACTCTTTAAAAGCCTTCAACGCGTCAAACTGATCTTTTGGGCGACGACGTCGAAGTCTTCGATGGAGTCGATGGTCGAGTCCTTACTCTTCTGTGACTCGCTCAAAAGTGCCATTCTCGAGGTCGACACGTACATCGAAGAGTTCACCTACGCCCTCCACCAACTGACTCTGAAACGCGTTTTTGTGGTCCTCAAACTCAACACCTTCTCTGAAATCGACTATGTCCAACTCTTTCAAAATACACTCGACGACGGCAGTGAGAAAATTGAAGACAAACTCTATCGGAAGTACTTACATCTTTCGACACATTCAATCGGCTCGTTAACTCACGTTTTGACGGGGGAAGTGTGTCTGTTGCCCGATGAAAATGGTCTCACACTGCCATTATCAAGACATGTGGAAGACATCGAGGCGATAGCGTGGAGGTATTTACCTACCACTTTAAAACTCAAAGGAACAACACAAAGCGACATTAACACCTTCAAAAGTTCCATCAAAAGTTCGATGAAAAGTTCGGTGAAGCGCTCCCTTGGGAAGTTCAGTGAAGAGTCCACACAAGCACTTCTCTCCTTAAATTTGACTCAAGTGACTTCGCTGACGTCTTTGACCCTCGAAGACATCAAAGTCTTCCAAACGCAGACGGTGTGTCTGCCAAGTTCGTTGTGTGCGTTGAATTTCAAAGACGTTGTACTCACCGACTCGACGCAGAAGACACCGAAGAAGAAGAATAACAACGCCGACCTCTCAAAAGTGACTTCATTGACTGCGATGACTATCATTCAGTTATCTGGTGACATCAATGTGTGTCTTCCTTCGTCTCTCAAAAGGTTTGAAGGGTATGTCCCAAGCAATCAAAAGATCTATGCCAATTTAAGTCAAGTTGAGAGTCTTAAAATTCACGGAGAGTTAGCCGAGAGTGTTCCCGAGAGTGTGACGGAGCTGACGGTATATAAAAAGTGTGAGTTAACTCGGTGTACCAAGCTCCGCGAATTGACGATCGAACGCGCTGAAAAGTTCAGGAGTCTCCCGCGCAGTGTCACCAAACTGACAATCAAACAAACAAATGAGAGAGAAATTGCGCTGAGCACTTCCAATGTGAAAGTCTTTGTTCTTTTCGACTCGAAAGTTCAGAAATTAGACGTGCCGGCGACTCTTCAAAGTGTTCGAACGGATTATAAGATTCAAGACGTGGGGAGGTATAAAGGGTCGATGTTGATTAAGTATAAATGACTGATTATTGGTAAGTCATTTATACAAATATATATACACATATACATATATATATACAATAATTCTTGACTCGACATGTCATTGAAGTGTTAGAAGTGCAAAACCGAAGGAAAGGAAACACAATATGTTATTTCTCGAGAAAAACTGGGACGCCATGTTCCTTGCACATCTCGTTAATGATTGGCTCGAGGGGTGCGATGTCGTCTTTGGAGAGCATTTTGAATTCTCTGCAGAAGAAAAAGAAGTGTTGGAAGGATTGCATAGCGACTTGGTCGTTACCGTTTCCTTTCAAGTCGTCCATATGTGAGTAGAACATATGAGCGTAGACTCTGATGAGTCTCTTAAAGATCTTAGTGATAGTGTCCATGAACTTTTTAGGGGGTTTGTCTTTAAATTCTTCGGGGAAGATACTTTGGTCGTCGAAGAGTTCACTAGCCCATATGAAGAGTTCGGAGCAATATTGTTGAGCGGGCATTGATGTTGGTTTCTTGTCGACCATCCAAAGGTATTCGAATTGTGGGCCTGCGTTCATTTGAGGGCAATTCGATGGGGTACATAAGTCAGAAATAGGACTATAGAGTAATTGAATTTCATCTAAGAAATCAAAGCCATTCACTGATAACCATTCATATAAGTTTTGACCTTCAGGGCATTTCACTCCATTGATGATGTCCCCACTTTTCGCTTTCTCAAAAAAGTTGTGCAAGTCGTATCGAATCGTTCCCTTCTCCGCTTTCTTTTTCGGTTTTATTGTGTGCGCTTTGCTAAACATCTTTCAAGTGTTCCAAGTTTCTCAGTTCTTTTTAAGTTTCCCTAAGCATTTCCACAGGAAGATCTTTTGAAGTTCACCTCTTGGTTTGCTCCTTTCTCGCCCTTTTTTCTCGCCTCTGCCTTCAGATTTGCAGGCCTGCGGCATTCTCTTGTCGTTGGCGTTGCAAAGAAATAGTTTGGAAAGGTTTAGACCGTCTTCTTAATTAGACAAGTTTTATATCGTTTGGTTATTAGTATTTTTACTATATCATAATAACAGAATGGAATGGAGCATAACTTTGATTTTAACACACAACAATTGTGTTTTACATGGAAATGGTACTATAAATATAGTAATTAATACTATAAAAAAAGGAGAAAGTGAAGGTGTGATAAGTGATAAAACGTTGAGTGAGATTTGGTAGAAAAAGGAGAAAAAAAATGGAACTTCAGAAAAAAAAACACATTTTGGTCAAAACAAACTTGAAAATGAGTTTTTTTATAAAATGACAAATAGCAATAATCCCAACAAAACTAAAAGACGATATTTATTCCGTCACTTAATGACGGTAAATTCAAAATTGGTAGAATTAATAATATTTTTATTATATCAATATAGTATATCTATCATATTTTATATTTATAATAAATTGCTAAGTATTTATCAATTTGATAAGGTAATTACTAATTACTACTAATTAATAAAAGATATTATTACTTTATTAACTTTTCAATACTTCATATTGGGTATAAAAAAATTATAACTTATCTTTTTTTTTAACACTTTAAATAACATTGAACAAAATTCAAGTGGTCTAAAAATCGGGAAAACTCGAGTTTATTAAATAAATTTCCGTTTTTTTAGAGTTTATTTTTTGTGCATAAACTATACACAAGTCAAAAAAAGGAAAATCACCAAAAATTGGATTAATATCCCTGTAAAAACAGGCCAAAACAAAAACAAGGGTGTTATTTTAAGTGTTAAAACACTTTACTTTCGAAAAACTTATTATAATAATAAGATTTAATATTATTTTTATAATAATTTACTATAATTTAAAATATGTTGGCTCACATTAGTTTCAATTCATAATTGTTTATAAATGCCGATTCAATACACTATAAAACCTACTTTATCACACAATTAAATAATTATTTTGTATTCATTATTGAATAAATTTATTTTTATTTCGATCTAAATTTTCTATATTATAATATAATATTAATTAACGAGTTTTTTTATTCAAGTAAATGAAAGACACAATGAACTTTATGTATTGGTAGTGCAAGATTTATTGAATATCAATACAACTTAATTTCTTATTGAAACAACTTTAAATTACGTTTTATTTTCTTGACTATTTAGTTTAAGTTTCTTGCATCCTTTAAAAGCATTTGTCCCCATTTGAATTGTTTTTGTGTCAACACCAAGTTGTTCTAAACTCACACATCCAAAGAAACACAAATATCCTATTTGTGTCACTTGTTTTGGTATTTCAATAATTTCCAATGAACTACATCCTCGAAAAGTTTCACTGCCTATATTTTTGATGTTTGAAGGCAACTCTATTGTACTTAAAGATACACAATTTTTAAAGACTAATTCTGGTATTGAAGTAATTAAAGTACATTCATTCATTTTAATTTCTGTAAGCGACAAACACCCATTAAAAATGCTTCCACCTATTTTAAGCACACTTTCTGGAATCAATATCTTTGATAAAGAAATACAATGTATAAAACATGATCCTCCAAGTTTTATTATTCTTGTGCATTTTTTGTTACTTATGTCACCTTCAACACATTTGCAAAAATTCACTTTGGATAATCGTTTGCACGTCCCAAAACACGTTCTTCCAATTTTAGAGACACTACTCGGGATATCAATAGATAATAAATACACACAACGTTGGAAGCAATAGTCTCCAAGATATTTTAAATTGTTTGGCAATTTGATGGAAGTCAAGGATGAGCAAACCCGAAAACAACTATTTGAAAAGGATGTCACTGATATTGGAATATATGGTGGTGTTTCCAACAACGCCCTTTCAAAACATTTTTCAGCTAAACTTTTAACATTCTCTGGAATAACATTTTTATATATAAATCTATCAGAAACCGTGTATACCAAATTCTTGAAGACAATTTTAGAATAATTTGGTTTGGATTTAACCTCTTTAAAAATAGAATAGTGGACTGCATAAAAAATACATATAGAAAAGAAATTGGTGTTGTTATACCAATCAAAATGTTGTGTTGTTTTTTCATTTTTTGTGTTTGAGTTATATCCAAGAAAGTGTTCATCTCTTTCTGAGTAAATACAAAGTGTCTCCAATGAAGGGAAGTGTTTAAGAGTTTGCAGAGTAACAGGAATCGGGTTGTAATGAAATTGCATCATGTTATTACAAAACTTTTTGCAGACAAGATTTAAGTTAATAATGTCGGTGAACGTTGAAAAATATTTGGAAACTATCATTATATGAAATGGGTCGAGGCGATTCATAAACTTCTAACTGATTAATACAGTTCATATGTATAAACGATTTTAGTTTAAATTAGTGAAATTTATAAATAAATAACTGACACTTTCAATATAAATAAAAAATTATTTTTATTTAATGTTCTAGAGAAACATATGTTATAATGTTGTTATCATTAAATTTTCTTAAAACAACATCCTCTTTGAAAATTTGGGGCTTCAGTTAAATTCATCAAATAAATGATTTCGTTATGTGGTTGATTTTGAATAAATGGTTAAAATATCATTGAAAATATATTCATTAAATAAACACAATTTTTATAACTACTTTTTATACAATAAATATATTACCAATCCATAGAGTGATTTACATTCGACATTGTCAAAACGAACATTGTGTTTACAATACAAATATTGTAATATTAATAATTGAAGGTTTTTTAATTTTACATATTAGACACTACTCAACAGCTGTTATAAAACGATTCAAAGAGATCCACATACATATAACTTTAAATAACTTTGTGTTAACAAAATACAGCTTATATTTTAATTATCTTAAATACTGAATTTAAAAAGTGTAACCACAACTTATTGTTTAATTAAACATGTACAAACCAATAAAACTATCATCAACCTTAATGTGATATTTACAGCACAAATGAATCATTAAATGTGACCCAATTATACATTCATCACATTCAACAAATTTCAAAGCCAATACCATATTATTTTATAATACAACAAAGAAATAAACAATCAATTGAGAATATCATACATTTTATCCAACGTCCCATTATCCAAATCGCTCAGTTCTATTTCGAGATCGTCGCTCTCCTCTCCGTTATTCATTTCCTTAACAATTTGTTGCAGTTGACTTTGTGTAGCTGTTCTGAGTTGATTTAACAAACATTCGACCTTCTTACGATTCGTCTTTCTTTTCTTCTCAGGTATAAAAAAGGGGTCAATTAGTCTATCTATAGGTATGTCCTCTTGTTCAATCATTTTCTGTCTTAAGTTCAGAAATTGTTTAAATTTCCTTCGTGTTTCTTTATCGACGTCTTTGTTCTCTTCGTTCATCTCAGGGTATTCCAGAAGTTCTTTAATTGACAACATTGCCGTCTGGAACTTTGCTTTATCGTTCTCTTCGACTTGGTCGAAGACACAACGAACGGACTGTGGCGTTTCTAAAGTAGTGAACTTCTTCACAAAAGAATATCTCTCTTCAAAAGGTATTGTTTCGTCAGTCAAATACTTGCTAACAACTTGATTGAACTGAACTAAAAACTCTTCAATTGTTTTACTCGAAAACAACTTCTCGTAATTCCCTTCTAATAATTTATTCTCGGGAGCTAACACTAATGTCGTCTTCATAAAGGCAAAAAGGTCCATCCTTTCGAGTTCTCTTGAATTAAAAATTCAACTCACATTAGTTGAAATATTAAAAATATCGTAAAACATTTTCTATTATCTAATTTAAAATAATTATAAGTATGGTTTGAGTCTAGTTTATTGGAACGAATAATGAAACAAACTCACAACATACTGACTCTTTATTTGGGTTTACTAAATTGGGGTTTACAATTTAGTAAATGTTTTTTTTTAATTTTTGGTTAATAAAATAATTGATTGAGTTGGTTTGTTAAATTAAAAAATAATAAAATTATTTGTTAAATAAATTATTTTTATAAGAACAGAAATAATTTTGTAGTGTTATTTTAATATTTTTTGAATAAATTCTACTCTAATAAAATGTAATTAAAATTAATTAATTATTTATAAATTCTATTCAATCTTTTATTTTTCATTAACATCATTTATTAATAATTTTTTTTTCGTTTTGAGTTTTCTAGCAAAAAATGATCTTATCTCCATAATACAAATATAAATCCTTTTTAATGATAAAAAAAATTTATATTTCAAACTATTAATTATAAAATGATTGTTTTTCTATTTATATAAAATGTTTTTAAAAATAGATAAATGATTTTTCCAATAATCTTTTTAAATAACATAAGAAGTTGTATATTATAAACTAATAATTATACTTTATTTTAATAAAAATAATAATTTGTAAGGATATGTGGCGACCTTTTGACATTAACAACGTGGTGACACATTTCGGTTATTGGTACTTTTCAAACTACAATTTTAATATCAGATGTTATACAATAAACTATTCTTAAAATAGATATTCCACGTAAATACAATGTGGAGACATTGAATTCACAAAACTAAACAGCCTCTTGACACGTTTGGTGATGACACGTTTCCAGAACCTGTTGAATATAAAAAGTATTCGTTCCACTGAATAATCAAAATCAGAAAGTGATGGGCAGAGATTTCTATCAAATCTTAGGCGTCGGAAAGAGCGCCACAGAAAACGATTTAAAAAAGGCGTATCGTAAATTGGCGCTCAAATGGCACCCCGACCGCAATCCAAACAACAAAGAAGAAGCGACGGAGAAGTTCAAGAACATAGCAGAGGCGTATGCTGTGCTTTCGGATCCAAAGAAGAAAGAGATCTACGACCGATATGGTGAAGATGGTCTAAAAGCTGGGATGACTGGTGAACAGCAGTACGATGGGATGAAAGGATTTCCTGGCGGCAGTTTTACTTTCACGACAAATGGAAGCGAAGGGTTTGATCCGTTTGATTTATTTAATTCGATGTTTGGTGGGATGGATGGGATGCCGCAGAGTCGTTCGCGACGGGCGAAGTTCTCGAAAAAGAGAAATGGGTTCAGTGGCTTCGAACAGTTTGGAGGAATGCCACAAGAGTTTCAAGGGTATACAGAAACACCACAAAAAGGCGAAGAAGTTACAGCCAATGTCAATTGTACATTAGAGGAGTTATATAAAGGATGTAAGAAAACACGAAAGATCACTAAGAACATCACAAATTCAAATGGACAAACATCGCAAAAGGAAAACGTCGTTGACTTGGATATTCAAGCCGGATGGAAGGATGGGACTAAAATTAGATTCGAAGGATATGGTGACGAAAATTATGGAGAAGAGGCAGGGGACGTCGTCTTTGTCGTGAAGACAATACCACACCCTTTGTATACAAGAGACGGCGATAACTTACACTGCAACGTCACTATTAACGTTTCACAGGCTTTAACTGGGTTTAAAGTCAATTTGCCATTCTTGGACGGGTCTGAAGTGTCCAAAAAAATCGATCACCCTGTGTCTGAAAACACACCAGAAATAATCAATGGAAAAGGAATGCCTATTAGAAAGTCTCCTGGAAAATTTGGAGATCTGTACATACACTTCAAAATACAATTCCCGGCGTACTTGACGGAGAAACAAAGAACTGATGTGAAATCTGCTTTAAGTGGCGTCAACAATTGGGTGTGATTGGGATGATGAATTGATTCCTTTGTTTTTTAATTTATTTTATTATATATATAGTTTATTTTATAATTAAGAGTAATTAAACATAATATTATATTTTAGTTATTAAGTAAATTATACATTTAAATTAATTTTTATAATAAATTGTATCATATAATTAAGTTATATATATTTTTGTGTGACTTACCATAATTATCTATTTTATAGTTTTTATATAATTAATATTTAATAAAATTAATTATAATATATTATTCTTTTTTGATTTATTGTAACCATTCTATTAACTATATCAATAGTTTTTTATTTTTAAAACAAAAGCGATGTGGCAAAAAAAACAAATAGGTTTATATAAGAGCAGCAATTTATATTTTAGTATTAATTTATACGACTATTAATTTTTAATCTGATATAAAAAATTATTGCTTATCGTGATTTGAAAAAGAAGTTTCTATTTAGTTACTTTTATAATTATATATAGTAACTCAAAAAAAAATTTTAATTAAAAATATATCATAATCATTTAATAAAGTGAGAGATTGAGATTGCGAAATCGGAATGAAATAACAGAAATGGCCCGATAATTTACAGAAAAACGACCAAATACATGGAAAATACGGAATATCAAAAAAATCCCCAACCCAAAATGAGAGATCAACCAATTAAACAATGCAAAGCAAAACGCCTTGAACTTGAAAAGAAATTGGCGAGCAAAACTGAAAAAAAGAACTTCAAAATCCAATGACCGACAAGTTGGATTATGCCCTTGATTTAATGCGCCGTCTTCCACCACAAAAGGTCGAGGACAACTTGCAGATGTTGATCGACTTGTGTCCCGATTTGACCGATGAGTTACTTTCCGCGACTGATCAACCTCTTAAAATCGTTGAGGATACACAAGAGAAACGTTCTTTCCTTATTTGCGATTACTGCAGAGATGGGGACTCATACCGTTCTCCTTTTTCGAACACATACTTCCCACCATTCCCAGAAGGAAACAAACCCTCTGCTGAGCTCAGAAATTTGGAGAAAGATCTCAACGAAGCGTTTAATATGTACAGAGAAATGTACTACGAAGGTGGTGTTCATTCCGTTTATGTCTGGGAGAATGATAACGACGGGTTTGCTGTCTGCGTTCTTATGAAGAAAACTGCAGATCAAAGCAAAAAGGGGAACCCCATGAAAGGTACTTGGGACTCTATTAATGTCATTGAAGTCATCCCCAAGGGCAAAGACAAGGCTGAGTATAGACTGACATCCACTGTTATCTTGTATTTGGAAACTAACACTGAAGCAACTGGAAAGGTGTCGTTTGCCGGTTCACTCACCAGACAGAACGAGAAAACATTGAACGTTGTTGGGAAGGATGCGCACGTCGTTAACATTGGTGAGTTTGTCGAGTCAACCGAATCCACAATGAGACGAATTTTGGACGCCATCTACTTCTCCAAGTCGAAGGAAATTACAAACAACTGCAGATGCCAAATGGGTTCATCTCAACAGGCTAAAATTAACGATATTACCAAGGCAATTAACACTCAACTCAGAGGTAGAAAAGACGATTAATTCAGCTTTTTTCATGCGTTGTTCTTCTTAGTTTGTGTCAGGTGATTCATTTTGATAGCTAATTGACGCATAAATTAGTGAATGTTTCCATCGAATTATTACTAAAAGACTTTGCAAATAAAAACAATCACATTTAAAAGAAATGTGTGAGGAATTCCGTGTTGAATAAAAAGATCTGGGAAGAAATCTCTCTAGTATTTTTAACATTCATATTATAACTATATTACTTAATACAATATACCAAACACTTCTATTCGAAGAACATAACTCAAAAGTGTTTTATTTGATCTACACAAGAAACTGTATAATACAAACAGAATATGGAACTCGATAATTTCCCGATTGTACGAACAGAAAGAACGTAATACACATCAAAAGTACAAAGAACGATAACTTTAAACAGATTTGTACGTCAATTTTCAGTCTCAGTTTTTGGAGTCGAATCTGATAAATTCAAGAGAATGTTACCGAGCCACCTTGGCCTTGGAGATAAAGATATCATTGATACACTTAACACTGTTCGAACTGGTGGAGACTATGAATGGGTAGTCTATCACGTTGATGCGCGTAATGGCGACTTAGTGAAGGACGACACTGGGAACTCCGTAGGGGATATGGTATACTTAATGGACGGGAGTCAAGTGCAGTTTGCTTATTTGCGCTATGAGATGGACCAGACCAAGAAATTCCTTTCGGTCTGTTGGTGTGGCCAAGGGTCCCAAGACAAACTTAAAACCAAATTTGTGTATTACAGCAGAGACTGGGAAGACTTCTTGAAGAAGAACCAACACTCCATTTCAGTGAATATTTCCGCTCGAAAGGAAGAAGATGTCGAAGAGGCGGTTATTGTAGACAAGCTGAATAAATCCACAGGGACGTTTGTTAGAGCAAGAAAGACTGGAGAACAAAAGGAAGATTTACAAGGCAAAGCCAAAGGATTTTGGACACAACAGAAGACTGTTGATGAGAAATATAAGACCGAAATGGATCAGAAAGCTAAAGAGAGAGAAGCCGATTTAGCAAGTTCACGAGCCGCACAAGCTCAGAAATTGAAGAATCAAGCCGAAGAAGAAATGAGACAGAAAAATGCTCAGAGAGAACAAGAAGTCAACGCCTTCAGATCACAACAACAACAACGCGACCAAGCAGAACAACAAAGATGGAAACAACAAGTCGAAGCGGACAAATCCAAATCCGCCGCTCGAAGAGAACAAGAGGTCAACGCTTATAACCAACAACAGCAACAAAGAGACCAAGCAGAACAACAACGTTGGAAAGGAATCGAACAACAACATCGCCAAGACGTCCAATCCCATTACCAAGAGTCTGAACAACAACAAGCCGCTCCTCAAGTCAAAGGAAACGTCTCTGCGTTCAAAAACAAGTTCGCGCAGTACGCCGAAGAGTCAGAACAAGTCCCACAGAAGCCAGTGAGTTCCGGAAGAAAGTGGCAACCACCAGCTAAAGCTGCTGAGCCAGCCGCTCCAGTTCAACAATATGAAGAACCACAACAAGAAGTTCAACAAGAAGAAGTCCCAGTCGAACAAGAGCAATACCAAGAAGAACCACAACAACAAGAAGAGTACCAAGAACAACCACCTCAACAACAATACGAAGAACCTCAACAAGAACAGGCCCCAGTCGAACAAGAACAATACCAAGAAGAAGCTCAACAAGAACCAGCACAAGGCGATGTCTATGTCGCAGAATTCGATTATGAAGGACAACAAGAAGGTGACTTGTCTTTCAAAGAAGGCGAACAGTTGACTCTCATCTCGACAGAAGACCCCGAATGGCCAATAGCGCGAAACGCTCAAGGCGTCGAGGGGAGTGTTCCTATGAATTACTTGGCTAAACACTAATTTTTGCTTTCATTCGTTGCGGGTTGCAAGCTATTTGGTAGTAGTATCGAAACTATAATTAAATTATAATGAATTCATAGGTGTTATGAGACAATCCACCTCTTGACGGTCTCCTTCCACTTCTCAATCAAAGTGTCATTCTTCCCGTTCTTTAATCCATTCAAAATCCTAATCAGTGCATTCCCTCGCTTCTCATCTTTAGGTGTTTTAAGGACTTCTAAATAACGTTGAATGACGGTTTCAAACTGCTCAGTGTCCCATGTCAGTGATAAAGTGGTTAACTCAAGCTCACACTCCATCTTCCACTTGTTCGCTACGTTCACGTTCTTCCGCTTCTCTTCATCTTTCACTAAACTCCTCCGGACAACCCAATGACCGTTCAGTATAACTACTTCAATGTCTTCATCAAATACAACGGAAATCCCTCCACTCGACGTACACTTCACATCAGTCACATTCTTCATATTCAACTGCTCCGCTAACTCTTTGACAGATACAATCTTGATGAGTTCACTCGTCGCGTTGTACACCTCGATCATCCCATCACACTTCACTACAAACACCACCCCCTTGTCTTTGAACGCATTGTGGATGACGCCATGCACCATAAGAGGCGCACGGATGATCGCACCGGAATATTGGTCGATCCCCAAAACTACACCTCCGATCGTTCCAATGGTGATCTCGTCGGTGCTTAAGCTCATCGTCGTGACTTGGAACGGTAACTGTGATTCCCAAAGGATCGCGTCATTCAAGACGTTGACCAATTGCACATATGAAAACATCTTCTTGCCGTACACCGACGTCGTGCTCTTATACACTATCGGCTTCTTCTCTTCATTCAAACAATTAATCGTAAGTGGCCGAATTAAAGGCACTGTAAGTACTTTAGTGTCGTCATTCGTCGTATTCAAAGTGTTCGCCGCAGTCGTTTGAGTCATTTCAAGCACTTTCAATCGGTCAGCAACTTTTTCGTTCTCGACTCTCGCAATCCGCTCAGTGATGCACTTCATTTGATTCTCTAACTCATCGATTTGGTCGATCCGCTTCATCACCTTCTTCATCCGCATCTCCTCGATAATATCAAGACGCTCTTGGTACTTCTTCCCATTCATTTCCTTGCGTTCTTTCTCCTTTTCTATCGTCTCTTTGACTGCCTTCGATGCCATCCGCATCCGAAGCGTCTTTTCCTCGTCCTCCAGTTTTTCATTTTTTTCAATTTCACTTTTCTCGAGCTTGGAAACCTTTTCTGGCTTACTTGGAACTAATGGAGGTGGCTGTTTCACAACGATTGGATCCTTTTCAACTTTTGGAAGGGTAATCGCCTTCGGTTCATTCAGTAACACCACAGGCTTGATTTTCTTCTTCTTCTCTTTCATCTTGTCCGCCTTCATTTTTTCAAGCATTTTACGTTCCTCGGGATGTAACACATCGACTGCTGGGCGTTTGGCATTCGCCTTTTCTTGTTCTTCTCTTTCTTTCGCCTCTTCCAACTCCTTTTGTTTCAATTGTTGTTGCTCGTCTTTCTCGTGTTGTATTCGACACTCCTCTTTCACTGTCAAACTCTCTTGAATTTCTTCTGCGTCTTTCTGCTTGAAATGCGCCATATACTTCCGCAGCGCCTCCTCACTTACTAGCGTCCCCCCGATCTCTTCATATGAAAATTTGATCACTGCTAAGAACCCTTTCAACCCAACAGCTATTAAATCCTTCCCTGAGTTGCACCAGACTAAGTCTTGCACACTCTCATCAAACACTTTCTCTATAGTACAGATCGATGTGAATGAAGGGGTGTCCCCCTTTTTGCCTCCACTCGGCTTAGTAGACCAGATACATACATCCCCATCGATGCTCCCACTCGCAAAGATCTTAAATGGCGTTTTCGATTTGCCTGCAGAGCGGAGGTATCCAAAGATCCGGTCTGAAAAGCGCGCAGAGATCACCTCATTCTTATGTCCGTAACACGTCTGGTATGTCCAGTCACTTCTTTTAATCAGTAAGAAGCATCGCTTCAGTTTACTCGTCGCTCCTACCACTGCAAGGTCTTTCCCATCACAACTCCAACTCATTCGACAACTGAAATTGCCATGTTCACAGTCTTCAAAAGGCTCTTCGATCTTCACTACAGTACTCTTATCTCGTATCTTCCACACACGAACTTCCTTTAAGTCTTGTGTGCACGCATATACTCCTAATGGGTCAACACAAACACCTATGATAGACGCTTTGTGGTCGCGGTACGTGTCCAAAAGCTCTTGTTTTGTCACATCCCATATTGCCGCAGTGCAATCCGCTGACACTGATATCAGAAACTTGTCACCAGGTAACCAACACAAGTCGATGACGCTGTCCGTGTGCGTTCGTAAGTTACAAACTCGTGTGAAGATAACGTCGTAGTAATTCTCTGTCTCGTCTTTCTCAAAACCACCAAGGCGTTCAGTCAATTCCCAGATCGAAACTATGTGGTCGTCTCCACCCGTCGCAACATATCTCCCATCGTGCGAATATCTTATAACATTCAACGACATGTCAGACACTTTCGTTTTACTCTTTAACTTCGGCTGTAATGAACTGTCGCTGAATGCCTTTGTATTATACAAATTAAAACACCCATCTCCCCCACATGTGACTATTTCTTCCATCGTTGGTGATGCATCTACTGAATATATCGGACACCCTCTATGCTCAACCCAGAATGGTCGAATAAAAATCACCATTTGTCTTTTTAAGTTGAGCATCTCTTGTTTGTCACTTTTTAAATAACATTTGTTTTTATTTTGTTATATATAACATTTAAATAATTTTTGTTATATATAACATTTTCAATGGTAATTTTCTTATTTTGAAAATATAAAACATTTTAGTAATAAAAAGTTAAAATAACATTTTGTTTTTTTGTTATATATAACATTTAAAAACAACATTTTACAATTTAAATGATAATCAAGAAGTTATTTGCTTTTTTTACAACAATTATATTAAAATAAATAAGAATAAAAAATATAAATTATAATACAATTGAAAACTATTCAATAATGACAAAAATAAAATTTTTGTAAAGCAATACTAGTCCAGAAACATACTAAAACATACCAACCTTTTTAGTATTTTTTAATTTATTTTATTACAAAAGTGATAGGTGGAGCGAAAAAGAAAAATAAATTATTAGTATTAAATAATATACTATTTTTGAACTATAAATAAAAAATACTAAATTACAAACTTAAGTACAATTCCCATAAAAATATCAAACAAGTATAGTTATAAATACTTTAAAAAACGACAAATAAAAGAATTCCAGTTTTGAAAAAGACTGAAAACGAAGAGAGATGCAAATTATAGTGCATATCACAAACAATGGAACAATTAACATGTCGGGGTTTCCAGTCTTACAAAAATCGGGCGAGCAATACACAACACACACCGACAATTCAACACTCGTCAGAGCAAATGCGCTTGTTCAAAACATTGACGAGACGACGAAGAAATTTTCAAATGAGCGTCCAGCACTTCCGCAGTCGAGTGTCTCTCCAAACGACATCACAAAACCAAGTTGGGACAGCCTGATGAGTTCGATTGTTTCAGTCGGAACGACTCGCTCGAACCATCGCGCAAAGACTGATGAGCAACGTGTGAAGAAGACTGCGGTGATGGAAGAGTTAGTGAATGTCAAGAAAGTTCATCACAAAGCTCATCGTCCCGAGAAGAAAGAAGTGAAAGAGAAGAAACAGCCGACCTTTTTACCTTCAGCCTTTTTGACTTACACTACCTTCTCTAAGTCTCAAATCGTTTGGGAAGTCCCGGCTTCCCTTATCAATTCCACTTTAATGAAGTATTACGCTTTAATGCCTTCTATGATGTTCATCTATGAAACAGACGTCGCCTCTTTCGGAACTTATTGTGTCGACCCACCTCTTCTCATCAACGGTCAAGTCTTATTCGCATCAAAATTCACCGTTTTCGTTATCGACAAGAAGAAGCGCTTCGAAAAGCGAATTAAGATCTCAAAAACTGAAATCGGAAAGATCGCAAAGGACGTCGTCATAGCTTCCGCTAACCACTCCATCACTGAAATGAGTGAAGGTTTCGCCATATATATCAAGAACTTACCTCCTTATAAAAATGAAGATATTTTCTATCAGAACACCTATCATTATATTAAGTCAATTACTGTCGCTACCTTTTACTCGTAGATGACTTCATTTCAATTAATTGATTTTCGAAATGACTTTTCATTAGTATATTTATGATATATTTTATTTGAAGAAATAATATAGCATAGATATAGTTTATTATACTATATATTCTCCTACCAGATATAATAGTATAATATATGGTATATATATAGTACAATATATTAAAGAATAAGAATTATATTAATAAAACTATAACATATAATAAATACAAATTATTAGGAAACAGACTGTTTTATACTATTACTGTTTTAAACAGTAATAGTATAAACAAAACCTATCAATATGGTAAACGATACTATTAAAAACAAATTAATTAATAACAAAATTTATTATTAATTAATTGAATAATTTTTAATACTAAATAGTAAATAATACTATACTGAATATATTACTATAATAAATATAATACCATATATTACAGAACCGAAGTCACAGAAGTGAATAAATAAGAACACTAATAACATGAGCATCTGGCCTACTCCGCTGATTTTACTGAAGTATCGTTGTGGTTTTGTCTGCGTTGCCCAAGACAACAACGCTTTGGTATAACTATTTCTGTTTCTTCGACGTCAGTCTCCTTTGGGGACATCTCCTCCAATATCTTCAATTGTGTTGAGATCTCGACCATTGAGCGACTCAAGGAGTTGTTCATCTCGCCGAGACGGAGAAATCTTTCTCTTGGGGATTGTTGTTTCTGAGTTGGGGAAGGATGCTTTTGTGGCTCGAGAGTGGAAGTCTGGAGGAGATTCTCGATGGGTTGCTCGGACTCATTCTTCCAAAGGCCTTTGAGTTCTTTAGTCTCGACGATCGATTGCATCCGAGTCCGCGGCGAGACTTGAAAGTTGTCTGTGTTGAGTGTCTCTTGTCCTAAATACGTCTTTGCGCGATTGCGACCGATAAAGATCTTGCGCGGGGTGTTCACTTCGGAGTGCGAGCACACGAGAAACACATCGTCGCCCGAGCCAAAGGCGTCATTCACTGATAACTCTGACTTACAAAAGATCTCCGGAGTATTAGGATTTGACATTGTGAGGTATGAAGGAGGCTCGCGGATAACAGTGTGTGGAGAGGACACCGTCTTTCTTACTCGGTGTTGCAAGAACATGATCAGGCTCTGGAATTATCCAGTTTCTTTATATATTAGACATATTCGTGAAGGTGTGAGATTTCTTTTCATTATTGATATTCTAATTCACATGATTCATTCGGCACGTTCCGGTTAGTGGTAATTGTTCTATAATTTTAATTATTCAATCAATAATAATAGTGAAGTCTTGGGTGATGTATATCATTTCTAAGACTTTTTTGGCGTCTTCCCAAAAAGTACAATAATGCATCTTATCTTTATAGCCTCCTTTTTCTTATTATTATCTCATCTTCTCAAAAAGTATAAGAACAAATTAGTAAAAGAGTTATCACATGAAACCATATATTAGCTATTGCCAGTTATAAAAAATTGGCTCTTTTTTTTGTTTTCTTTCTTTGTTTTGTCGTGTTATTATTCTACATTTGTTTCTTTTTTTCTTGATAAACTATTTATATTCCATCTCTGAGTCGACAGTTATTATTATTGGTTTTGGTATTATAAATTTTACTAGTAAAAAATGTAAAAAATAATGAGAATGAAAACTTATATAGATATATATAGAAATATATTTTTAAAATTGTATTCAATAAAACTTTTCGCTCGACTAACTGTCTTTTGACCAACATAACTCAAACTCAAAAAACTATTTTTAGTTGTCATGCAGTTTCAAAAGGTCTTTTACATAATCAGTCGGGAATCAGCGAATTTGACAATCGCTTCTTAAACACCCATCTATTAATAATTAATTTATAACAATAATTATAACAAATCATTCAAATTGATAAATCTATAAATAAAACCATTTGAGAAAAAATTGCAAAAAGACTCATTTTTATTTTTTCTTTCTTTTTGTCATTGTAATTTTAGGTACAATAATTCTATTTTTTTACTATTACCATTCTAATAGTAATTACACAATTTTATTCATCAATTTAAAATGATTTGAGTTGTGCAAAACGAGTTTATAAGTTTTTCATGAATTAATATATAATTAAAATTAACTATTTTCATTCTAAAAAGAATATCAATATAAAAAAATGCCGTGGCTATATTTTTCTTTACATAGAATTGTGGTTTTGTTATTTTTAGATAATATTTTTTATTACAGTTTTTTATTGAAAGAAAATTTGTTTATAAAAATTCCGCTAATTTAACAATGTTTATAAAACATTTGACAGTGAATAACAATTTTCTTGAATTATTATTTGAATATAATAAAGTTAATTATATAATGATAATTTAAAAATTTGATTGTTGTTTTGAGTTTAAATTGTAAAAGTTGAATCAATTCAAAGTTTAACATTGTAATGATGGTCTACATCATAAACAAACAACTTTTTTAAATAGTTATTTGAATAAACAAAATTAATTGTATTTGTAGATTATGTTATATCTTACTATTATCAATTTAAAAGAAATATACATTATTAAATTTTAATAATAAAGTATAACATATATATCATTTAATTATAAGTATAATTTTTATTATTATTAACTTGGTTATATTTAATATACAATATATTAAAAATTGTATATTATATTACTACCATATTAGAATATTTTGACTCTAATAGTCTATTATATTAATAACAACATATACATATTATATTTTATATTTAAATTTAAATACATTTGACACACATGTATTAAGTTCTTTCTTTAAATAATAAATTAAATGGTTTTGTATAGTTTTTTTAATTTCATAGTTTTTGTTATTTAAATTAACGTGCTATTTTTTCATTTTTCTTTATTAAATAAAACTTTTTTTATTTGTGAATTTCCCATTGAAAACACCAAAATAATTAGCGAGTTTTTGTTTATTTACTCTCCACCCCACAATTAACACATTAATTAAAAACAACTCGTTCAATAGTTATTTTAACTCTTCAAACAAACCATTTCAGTAGTAAAAATGTTAATAAAAATACACTCAAAAGAACTATAAAATCAAACCAAGAAATGACCAAGCGCAACCAAAAAGCTGATCAGTTATACGAAGAAGCCGCGACATTAGAGACGAAGTGGTCCATTTTCAGTAAAGAACAAAACATGTCGAAAGCTCAAGAGTTGTACAACAAAGCGGCCAACCTCTACAAAGCGAGTGAAGACTACGACAAGGCCGCTCTTGCTTTTTCCAAGTCAAATCTTTTATCGACGAAATTGGGAGACACGTCCGACGCAAATAAAGCACTTCAGAATCAAGCGCTTTGTCTTTCGAAAGGTACAAACCCAGAAAGCGCAGTCGACATCTTACTTGGTGTAGTTGAGAATTACATCGCCGCGGGTGCCTTCTCACAAGCATCCAAAACGCAACAAGAGATCGGGAAGATCTTCGAAGAGCTCAAAAAGTACGACAAAGCAGCTGAAGCGTACAAAACAGCAGCAAGTCAATACGAAATGGATAACCGCCCCGCATCGGCGCTTCCTCTCAAGATCTCTGCAGCCAAATTGGAGGCGTTAACTGGAAAGTATATGGACGCTTATAAGACCTTCGACCAAACTGGGATGGACCAAATCAATCAAGGCGCCCTTCGTTTCGGAGCAAAGGAACACTTCATCAACGCAATTCTTTGTCAAATGTGTAACGACGACGAAATTGGTGCGGCCAAATCCGTCGATAAATATAAAACACTTGATCCATCGTTGTCATCAGAAAGAGATTATAAGACTATGGCTGTTTGTTCTCTACTTTACTCTATAGATTATAACAGAAGAGGTGCTCATGATACTCATAAATAGGACTTGGCCAATGCACTCAAAGAAATGGACTTGGACAAGTTCAACGCCGTCGTAGGTAACTACACACAACTCAAACAAGTCGACGAATTCAGAAGACAGCTCTTCGAAGTGTTGAAGAAGAAGATCGAAGACAACGCGAATGCGGCACTTCTTTGAAATGATTAATAAACAACAGGTTTCTACATTTTTTTTTAGAAAAGGAAATATTATGAAGTATAAAATGAAGAATATTAAAAACTATAATAAAAACTATAATAAAAACTATAATAAAAACTATAATAAAAACTATAATAAAAACTATAATAAAAACCAATCATTTTTTTGAATAAGGAGCCTTCTTCTTTTTATCATCTCTGTCTCTTCGAGGAGCTTTCTTTACTTCAGTTTTTGAATGTTGTTTAAAGTTCTTTCCACCAACACGGTCTCTTCGAGGATCCGATTTAAAGCGATTTTTTGGATCATCTTTCTTGTTGCTATTCTTTTCCTGTTTGTCACCTTCAACGTTTGTATTTTCAGTATTTGTTTGTTCTTCTTGTTTTTTCTTAGCATCTTCTTCTTCTTTTTGTTTGAGAGCATCGGAACTTACTGGTTCGATCTCTCGTCCTCTGTGAACGATGTGCCGTGGGGCTATCAATTTGCTGTGAGTCTTTGCGGAGACCCATTCACTTCCGATGGGTTGGTTAATTAACTTATCATAGACTTCTGCGGTTAATCCTTTGACTGGAGCTGCTATTGCAAGGTACTTCAAGAACTTTTTGTCGACGCCTGCGTTCACATAGATCTTTTTCTTTCGCGGCTTTTTCTCTTGATTGACCTTTTTAGTAACAGTGGCTTGATTTGACCATTCGCCCCATCCCGGTAAGTTCTCGTTCTCGCCAGGGACGTATTCCTTCTTCTTCTTGGGCTCATATGAATTGACCTCTTGCATCACATCGTCCTCTGCAAATGCTAAACGCAAGAGTTCCTTTTGATCCTTCTCGAAGATAATGTTGTCGTCTTCTTCATCCATATTTTGAAGTCGCGAGAGGGGAGAAGACTCCATTTTGATCTCTTGAATGACTTCGGGATTCGTTGGTGTTAAAGTTACAGTCGCTACTGGGTCCTTCTCTATCTCCATCTTCACCGTCTTCTCTTTCTTTGTCTTCTTCTCCTCTTTTTCTGCATTCCCATCAAAATCAAGTGGAATCATTTCCATATTTTGTATGGTGTCTTTGTGCTTCGCCACAGTTTCAGTCTTTTCTTCAATAATTTCGGCTTCTTCTTTATTATCGTCTTCCATTGCTATTTCCTTTAAAGGTTGAACACTTTCTTCTACACTTTCTTGACCACTTTTAACGTTTTGGTCTTCTTTCGAAGCCTCCTCTTGTTCTTCCTCTTTTTCATCTTCATTTTCTAATTCCATTTTGTCGTCATTGTGTTCGTCGTTTTGAGTAATGTCATTCATAAACTTCTTAATCTCCTCTTTGCGCTTCATTTGATCCTTTTTCTTTTGCTGAGCCAGTGATTCACTAGTTTCAATGTACTTCTTTGAATCGTCAGCTTCATTGCCTTCGATACCAACACACCCCTCTTGTTGTCCCGTCGAAATTGTTTCTTCATTCATCGCTACAACTACTACATCCTTCTTTTCTTTTAATGGAGCATTCATCTCATCAACAAACCCTTGCAGTTGTTCGACTTCTTTCTTTCGAGCTTCTTTCATAAACTTCATTCCCATTATCGCGTCATTGTCTAATTCAGTGCTTTGAAGTTGTTTAACTCGATCCAGAGCAATTTCCTTGTCTTTGTCTGTCACTCCAATGTCCTCATCGTCACTCTCAAAATTCTCCTTCCCTAAGATCTCATTGATCTCTTTATTTAACCCTTGCTCATCAAAGAATTTCTTCTCATCAAACATCCACTCCTTATTCTGTTTCTCACGAAGCATTTTCCCTATCGCATCTTTGTCTTGGATATCTCTTCGAATACCGTCGATCCGAGTCAACCCAAATTCTTTCATTTCTCGGGCCCATTGATTCTTTGCATGGCGTTGTGTAATTCGCTCGGTGAGTCGATCAAACTCCTTTTTCCTCTCAAAGTCCTTAGCAAGTTCTGGGTCTTTTTCTATTAAAATTTCTTGCTCTTTCTTTTTGTCTCGCTCTTTCTCATGTTTAAGAATTCGATGATACTTCTTCGACTTGATTTTGTTCTGCCTTCTCGCATTTTGTTGGTCGAAGAACATCGCACTTCTGAGGGCGGCAAGTCTTTTCGCTCGTTCAATTTGCTCTTTTCTTGACATACCTTTTCGGACTAAAGCACTAGCTTCCCCCACCACCCTTTTAGGGTTTACTTTGTTTAAAACGTTTTCAATTTTTTCAGACAACTCGGCGTTGATCTGACTTGCAAAATTGGGCTTTGGAGCCTCCTTTTGGGGGTAAACAACAGTTGGTTGCACGTCTCTATTAAACACAACTTGGGTATATTTTCCCATAGTTTCTTTGGTTTTTGCCTTTGAAATATCTTTTTCTATATCAGCTTTGTCAAAGTCTTCAAGTGCTTTTGAGACTTCTTGAACGTCCGAGTCTTTTTTGTAGACCGGCTCCAAGTCATATTGGACTGTATTTTGCAAGTGGGTGTCGTCGATCGCCGTGACCAATTCATTCAGTGTGACGTCTTCCATCTCTGTCATGATTTTAATGGGTTTTGTCGTTTGTTTTTAGGGTTCGTCTTTTGTGTGTTTTTTGTGTGGTTCAATAGTATCGTAACATCATCAGGGGTTTAATAATCTTTCATTTTTAGCTTAAACCAAATTTCTTTTCCATCACAAAAGGGCAAAAAATATCTTAGACAAATAAGACGGTAATTACAGAGATTATTTCTCTAACTTTTCATCTTTTTAAACCTTTCAAGAAAGAAAAAAAATCTTAAAGAAAAAATGTCCATAATATGGTAATTTGCTTTAAAAATCTTCATTTTCAGATAGTGTCACTTTTGAAGAACAATTCAAAGATAGACAAACATAAATCAATATAAGGCAAGGAGCGAGTGCATTGCTCCGACGAATTCTCTTTTATTTATTTTCCCATTCCCGTCGATGTCAATTATTCTAATAAAATCGTTCACCTCTTCGTCGGTGACAAATTCTTTCTGCCTTTTTAAGAAGTCCTTAAGCTGCACACTTGAAATTTCATTTGTTGCGTTTGTGTCGATCTGATCGAAAATGAGCTCATAGAAATCGTTGATCGAAAATGAAAGTGAACATTCAAATATAAGTTGCGAGAGTTTGTTGAACTCAACTATATTCAACCCACCTTTAGGCCCTTTGTCAAATAAATTAAATAACACAACAAATGTTGCTTTGAGTTGTGTTGTAAATTCGCCACTAATTGTCTGGAGTATATTAGCCGCCTCTTTTTGACTAATTAGTCCGTCTTTGTTCGCGTCGTACATATCGAACGTCGTTCGCCACTTCTGGACGTCGGGCGAAAACACTTCGAGAAACTCATCTTTCGAGATTTTGCCGTCTTTGTTCGCATCAAGTTTTGCGATGACCTTCGCAACTTCTTTGCGACACGGCTTGCGTTGTAAGTACGTCTCTATGAAAAAGGTAACTTCTTCGCGTTCTAAATAACCGCTGTCGTCCGTGTCGATGACTTCAAACGCAAAATCATATAAGTCTCGAGGAAAGTAACTCACTTTGCGCTTATTTGCTTTGTCAACGAGTTTGGAGACTTCTGAAAAATCAATTTTGTTGTTCTTATCTTTGTCCATCAGGCGAACCACCAACTCGTAGTCTTTCAATTGTCCCAAATTTGGATTTGCTTTGTTGATGTGGACATTCGCGTGCTTCGCAAGAAAATGGAGGGTTTCTTCGTAAGTCAGATAATCTTTCCCTTTTCCATATTTCTTCACAACATTCTCAGGTTTAATCGACATGATTTCTTCCTTCAAATTTTGTAGTTTCTTTTTTACTAGTTTTATACTATTACCAATTAGTTTCGCTTAATTTGTTTGTTGTTTTATTGCGATAAAAATGTGTCGTTTTCATTTCAGAAATTAACAAAATAGAAACTATAATCTCAAGTTGTGTTAATTGAAAGTGTTTAAGAAAACTGTATTTATCGTTCCCCAATTGTGTTATTAACAACTTATTAATACGATAAGACAATGTGTTGTTTCTTTCAAATATTTCAAAAAACGTCGAATTGATTCACAACAAACATTGCGATAAAATAATATTTATAATAAATGGTAAAATAATAATATTAATATAAGTAAAAATATTAAACCGACAACAAAAAAAATTCATTAATTAATTTTGACCAATACGATGACAACTCTTGTTGGGATGTACACTTTGACCATATATGGCAATCCGTCGCACGACATATTCTCAGTGAACAATTCTCCACCGGAGACCGCGTTTCCAAATCCGTCGAATTCTTTATCGTCAGAGCTTAAAACAATTTTGTATTTTCCAGGTTCCTTCACACCGACACCATAGTCAGTGAAACTTTTGTTTGGATTGAAGTTAAAAACAGCAATGCAATCGCCTCTTTGGAAAGCAAGAACGTAGTCGGCCTCGTTGTGTTTACTAATGAAAGCGTTTTGTTTACAAAGCCACGGGTGTTCCTTCTCAAGAGCAAACATGCTTCTTTCGAAAGCAAGTAAATTCTTGTATCTCAGTAACTTGTCTTCAACCAAGTTGTATTGTCTTCTTGCGTAATGGAATGAATCTCCATTACCTTCTCTCGGGAAGTCCAACCATTCGGGGTGTCCAAATTCGTTACCCATGAATGTCAAATATCCTTCTCCACCTAACATGCACGTCACAAGTCGAATCATTTTATGGAGAGCAATACCCCTCGAGATGATAAATGAAGGTGCCCACACTTGTGACATACCAGTGTACATCTCCTTATCCATCAACCAGAATGATATTGTCTTGTCACCAACAAGTGCTTGGTCATGGCACTCCGCATACGCAATACATTTTTCCTTCCATCTTCTGTTATTCAAAGTGAACCCAATGTGGTTGACGTTCCAGTCTTCGTCTTTCTTGGTCTTCAAGTACTCGACCCACAAGTCTGGACATGACATCGCAAGTCTATAGTCAAACCCAACTCCTCCATCTTCAACGGTTCTGCACAACCCAGCATATCCAGAAACGTCTTCAGCAATAGTTACGCAGTGCATATCCTTTCTGTGTACTAAGATGTTCACAAGAGACAAATAGCTCAACGCGTCTTCATTGGCGCATGGACCGTAGAAGTTCTTATAATCAAATGTGCATCCACCGACACCGTGATGAGTATATATCATCGAGGTCACACCATCAAATCTGAACCCGTCAAACTGGAATTCCTCTGCGTAATATCTAACGTTTGACAACAAGAATCTGATCGTCTCGTAGTTGTTGTAATTGAAGAGTCTTGAGCCCCAAAGGGGGTGTCTCCCGTGGTCACCCGGTAACAAGTAGTGTGCGTCACTCCCATCAAAATTGTTAATACCATCAACGACATTAGAAGATGTATGCGAATGGACTATATCAAGTAAGACAACAATCCCTTGTCGGTGGCATTCATCAATGAGTCTCTTGAGTTGGTCTGGTGTTCCAAATCTCGAAGATGGCGCAAAGAAGTTGGTGACTTGATACCCAAACGAGGCGTAATACGGGTGTTCCATAATAGCCATTAATTGTATTGCGTTGTATCCAACGTTTTTACAGTACGGTACAATTCTCTCTCTGAAGTCGTCATAAGTCGCTATTTTAGTATCTGGGGTACAAATGCCCACGTGACTCTCATAGATTTTTAAGGCCTCTGGTATACCTGGGCGTTGCGCAGTGAACTTGTACGGGTTCTCCGGGTTATATACAACAGCTTCCATACACGACATCTTCTTGTTGATAACACAGTATCTGTGATATGTTGGGATTCTGTCGAGTCTTTCACCTTGATGTGTAATACCATAGAACTTAATTTTGGACATGTGAGGAATTACACTCTTCCCATTAACGTCTGCAATGAACCCTGAGTGAGTCCCAAACTCATCACGGTGCATTTTGTACGCAGTGTTTCTGTCCCAATTGTTGTAGTCACCAAAGAGATACATCTCCTTGAAGTTGGGAGCCCACTCTCTAAATACCCAACCCTCGACATCTTTGCCATTTTGGTTCTCAGTGCCTCGCACTAAGCCATAGCGTTTGTACGAATCTGCAAATTGCTCAAGAGAACCTTCAGATGCCTCAATACGTGAAAGGAGGTCATACGTCTTTTTCTGTCGACCAACAATAGTTGGCGCAAACTCATTCAAAGAAGGGTCGTCAATAAGAACTTGCAATTTACTCATCGGATGAATTTTGAAGATGTTCGAGTTTATTTTATACCAACAAAACGACCTTTTTTGACATCAAAAGGGCGTTTATCAACTTTAAAGGTGGCGGCATTTTTCGCCGTTGGTGATTATTTACGAATTTTTATTCAAGAATTGTGAAGTGTGGCTACACCATTTGTTTTTGTGGTGACGAAGTTTTGGAGACCGATCTTCAAAAGATGGTTCACAAATTATTTCAAATTCATATGGTCTAATAATTATTTGGTGAAAAAAAGAGGAGGAAGAAATGAAGTCTTTGTTTGATTCTTTCAATTGTAAGTTCTACAAATTGCCCGATGTTTGGACTCAACATCGAAAAGATTTCAAAAGAGAATTTTACTTAACAATTATTATAACATCAATAGAAGAAATAATTACTTTTTTTTTGAAATTTTTTTTAAAGAACTTTCTTCATTTTTTTTTTCGTTTGTTGAAGAAATTTTTATTCGAAAATTGTGAAGTTGGTGACTTCTTTTAAGGCTTTATTAATACATAATCTATAAGAAATGTAACTGTTTAATATTAGTGTTAATACATATTCGAATTTTTGAAAACAAAACTTAAATATTGAAAAGCAGATTCGTCAAACTTTGAAGCCCGTAATATTGGACTAAATAATCATTGTATTTTGTATATTTAATAACAGAAAAACAACTAAAATTGTTAGTAAACGCAGAATGTTAAATTCCTGATTAAAGTTCAATACCTATAAAGATTATATGGTTTATATATTATGTACATATAATATAAATAAATTGTATTTTTTTCAATTTTGAAAAGTTGTATTTTTATTTTTTATTTTAAATTTTAAATTTATATTATAATCAGTTTTGTTTTAATAACAATTGAATAACATTTAATTTTATTAAATCAGAAGTTATATTAAATTTATTTTATTATATGACTTTGAAACTAAATAATTTGAGATAATTCAACTGAATTTATTAATGTTTTTAATATATTGAACAATCAAAGTTATATATCATCCCAAATAATTACAATTAACAAATAAGTTTGTGATAAGCGATTAAAACACAAAGTACAACAAAATAAATAAATATTATTTTTCACATTTTTTGAAATAATTGATAATTATGTTCATTTAAAATGAAAAAAATCAACCATTGTTTGTTATTCGTTGTATTCCAGATAAATAGAATATCATTGTTCGTTGCAAAATATTGTTTATAATTGATTGTTGACTTGAAAAAAATATCATTTTTTGTTGTTTATCTTTATCGTTTTGAATTGTTATAAATGTGGCATCCATCTTTATTTCAACAATTATAAAATAATTACAGTAGGAGGAAATAGAGGGATGCTGACAAGAAGTAGGATAATCTAAAATATATTTATTTTGTTTTTTTATTTTATTGGTTATTTTGTATTGAAAACAACCAATAGTTGCGAGCATCCCTTTCTCTAGCATCTTTTTATTTTCTCTCACAATATTAAATATTTTATTTACATGTTATTATTCAGAAAATATCTAAAACAACTTAACTTATTAACATTATTATTATCGCACATGATTAACAATTATATTAGTTTTATTGAAATCGACATATTCATTCTTTGATGATACACAACAATTGAAAAATAAAATGTTTATAAACACAAACTAATATTCAATTAATTATTACAATCGTAAGTTTAAATTGTTATTTTATCACCATTTAAATATTTGAGTTATTCGAATACAATAAAAAACATTCAACCTATTCCAACAAATTTGGAATAAAAATAAAAATCGTTTTTTTTACTTACAATATTTGTCACTGTTTAAAGTAAAATTGTAATATATGGCAGTGTTTTGAATATTTGTCCAATTATAATGGTATAATAGTGTTTTTAATATATCATTAAAACAACAAAGAATAACAAATCATCGAGTATTAAATGGTAATTTTGATAATATAATAAAACAATTCAAATTTTAAATTAATTAAATTCAAAAATCAATTTACAAACGAAGAACAATTCAAGATTATGAGTTTTGTACATTATAAACTTTTTAATATATAATTTAGCTTCCAGTACTAATATAAATAATACATTCAATATTGTTTAAAAATAAAAAACGCAACTTTATTTTAAACTTTTATTTTGTCATATTTAAAGAAAAATATACAATGAAATTCCAAATGTAATTTGAATCATATTGAACTTATATTACTATAAGTTCGTGATATTATAACATAATTAAAAAATAACAAACTTTTGTTGTTTTCTTTCGTCAATATTCAATTCGTAAACATTGACGGTTTTAATTGATTGATGTTATGACTTTCTATTTAAAAATAATAATAATTAAAAGAAATGAACAAATACGCAATTCAACAGATTATATAAAAACATTCCAATTGAATTTACTACAAGTTAGATTTAGAATTTATGAATTTCATCACACGTCATTCTCTGTATATTTATAAAATAAAAACAATTCAAAATAATCAACTTTTGTTGTTTATAATATAAATTGACAAAAGCAAATATTGTTAAAACTTTATATCTTATGTATGCTTTTATTAGTGGTTCGACAACACTTTTATTTATTTTACTAACAATGACACTCTCAATAACTTGTGATCCTGGGTATTTTTACCCTGGAGTTGAACAAGCTGGATGCCAGCCATGTCCCCTTGGTTGTTATTGTCCAAATGGATCACCACTGCCTTGTAAACTTGGTTATTACTCTACAGGTGGGACAACTATTTGTACTGCGTGTCCCAAAGGTACTTACTCATCAAATATAGCTTCAAGTTCTTGTGCTATATGTGAAGACGGATCCTATAATTCGTTAATTGGGCAGTCCTCTTGTTCAGCATGTTCAGCCGGTACTTACTCCAATGGAACTTCAAAATCAAGTTGCACTAAATGTCCAGCTGGTTATTATTCAAAAGAAGGTGCATATTCGTGCACTCTTTGTTCTAATGGGTATTTCTCTTCTTCTAGTGGACAGAGTAGTTGTTCGAGATGTACTGCTGGCACTTATTCAAATGGAAATTCGAAAACGACATGCACGAAATGTCCAGGTGGCACTTATTCAAAAACTGGTGCTTCAATTTGTACAAATTGTACAAGTGGTTATTACTCTAATATTGGTTCTAGTTCTTGCACGTTATGTCCCGATGGTTCCTATAACCCATCAAAAGGTTCTGATCAGTGTCTTTATTGTCCTGGTGGTACTTATTCTTCAGGAAGTGCAAAAACAGCATGTACTTCTTGTACAGCAGGAACTTACTCAAAATCCAATTCATCAGAATGCACCAATTGTAGTGCAGGGTTCTATTCCGACAAAAAGTCGAGCACTTGTACATGGTGTCCAAACGGTTCTTATAATCCAACTGTTGGTCAATCAACTTGTTTGATTTGTCCAGCTGGAAAATATTCATCTGGCTATTCAAAGATTTCATGCACTTCATGTGTTGCTGGGACATATTCAAAAGCCAATTCATCAAAGTGCACCAATTGTAGTGCTGGGTATTACTCCAGTGCAAGTGCAGCTTCTTGTACCTCATGTAAAAACGGGTATTACAATCCATCAACTGGTCAGTCTACTTGTTTGGCATGTGGCGCAGGGACTTACTCCAATGGAACCTCCAAAATCAGTTGTTCAAATTGTCCAGCGGGGTATTATTCTAAAACCAAAGCCGGGTCTTGTACTTTATGTCCCAATGGGTATTATAATAAAGTAGAAAAACAAGGTTCGTGTTTGGCGTGTTCAGCTGGTTCTTATTCAAATGGGTCAGATAAATTAAGTTGTTCTCTGTGTTCTGCTGGTACTTTTTCTGCTGCAAAAGCGTCAAGTTGTACTTCGTGTGTGGAAAATTATTATTCCCTTAAAAATGCATCGACTTGTCTTTTGTGTGTGAGTGAAATATGTTTTTCTTGTGTAAAAACAAATGGATATTGCACTAATTGCACAAGTGGATATGGACTCCTTTCGAATGGAAAATGTACACAATGTCCTGCGGGATATTACTCACCAGGAGTCAAAAGTTCGTGTTCAAAATGTGCGTCTTTAACTTACTCGAATGCTGGTGCTTCTTCTTGTAAAAAGTGTAATGTTCTGTGTAAAACATGTAGTTCCACAACTGGTCAGTGCACGAGTTGTTATAGTGGATCTTATGTTTCTTTAGGGAAGTGTGTTTCGTGTCTTGCTGGGTATTATTATAATGGCACTGCTTGTATTTCGTGTCCAATCACAACTTATTCAAAAGCCAATTCGACTATTTGCACAACTTGTAATACATGTCTGACTTGTAATAGTACCACCAGCTATTGTCTAACATGTAAAGTTGGTTTTGGGCTCTCTCAAAATCGTTGTAAACAATGTTCTATGGGTTATTATAGTAAATCAAATGTTTGTACAAAATGTCCTGTTGGATATTATGCAAATGTTGTGGGGAGTTCAACTTGTAAATCATGTGCAACTGGCTATTTTGCAAACAGTACCGGAACAATAAATTGTTATAAATGTGATGAATTATGTTCAACTTGTATCAAATCAAATGGGAATTGTAATTCTTGTTATACTGGGTATATTTTAAAAGATGGTTTGTGTATACAATGCACTGCTGGGACGAAGGCAAATCAAGTAACAAACAATTGTGATGTTTGTCCTGCGGGTACCAAATCAACTGAATCGTATGACAACTGTGAAGAGTGTGAAAATGGGTATTATTCACTTACCAAATCCACAAGCTGCAATAAATGTTCTTCAACGTGTTTAACGTGTAATAACACAAATGGTAAATGTATTAGCTGTATAATGGGTTATGGGTTGTATTCAAACAACAATTGTATTAAATGTAAAAATGGGTTCTATTCTATTGATTCGCTTTGTCAAGTATGTCCCACAATGACATACCAAACTGCAACAGGGAGTTTTTCATGTCTTTCTTGTAATCAAACATGTTCTTCTTGTGATAATATTTCTGGGAAATGTTTAACATGTCGAGAGGGGTATGAATTGACGACTTTGGGGACTTGTACACCATGTAATGATTTGTATTTTTCATTAGGAGGTATTTCAAAGTGTACACGGTGTGACACGAGTTGTATTTATTGTTTTAGAGAGAGTGGGAAATGTAGTGAGTGCGTATCAGGATTTAAAAAGGTTGTAATCAATTCAACCAAAAATTGTGTACCGTGTTCTTTGAATGGTAATTGTTCCACTTGTAATGAAGTCGAAGAAGAAGAGTCTCGAGTATGTATAGAATGTGTTGATGGATTTTATTTGGATAACAACAAATGTAATAAATGCTCTGATATTGAAAATTGTGAAAAATGTTCCACTCAGAGTAAAAAATGTCTTTCTTGTTCTGGAGCATTGATTTCAGTTGGAAATATGTGCATTAATTGTGTTATGGGAACAATGAAAAGTGGAGACAAAACTTGCTCAAATTGTTTTGATATTATTCCTAATTGCCAATTATGTGAATATAATGTGATTTCACCAAAGTGTTTAAAGTGTTTTGCTCCATACGTTATTTCAAACCAAATGTGTGTTCTTGGTTATTCAAAAGAGAGTCATTTTGATAATACATTTAATAAAAGTGTTTTCAATAAAAATGGATGTGTATTTCAAGTGAATGATGAATGTTATTCTTGTAACAACAATTACATTAAAAATGATGGTAGTTGTATTATAAAAGACAAAGAAGAGTGTGTATCTTACTCAAAATCAACTTGTGAAAATTGCAAGAATGAAGTGATTTCTACAACTGGAAACTGTGAAATTTTTTCGACTTGTAAATATCAATCAAACAGCAAAATAGAAAATGTGTGCATTCAATACAAAGATCTTATCTCATACGGAATAACTGATGAACATTGTTATATATCAAATAATGGATTCTGTTATTCATCTCAACAAGGGTTTTACACATCTATGAGCCTAAATGGAGACAGTTTGAGTTGTGGAATAGCCGCAGTGTGTTCCAATTATAATGACACTATATATAACTTAACATGTCAAACAGGATTTATTTTAAATGAAGAGTTAACATGTAAAAAGGATGAAAAATGTATGACCTTAAAAGGAAGTTTTTGTGTTGAAAGTTTGCCACGATATCATATTGAAAATGGAAGTTGTGTATATAATTCCGAATTTTGCAAAATCCAAATGAAAGACGAATGTATTTTATGTGAAGATAAATTGTTAGTAAATGGTAAATGCAACTCAATTGAAAATATCAATTGCAAAGAATTCAACATAAAATGTCTTTCATGTGATGATGATTGTTATAAAGACGTCGATAGCTGTAAAATAAAAAATGATACTTTTCCTTATTGTGAAAAGGTGAGTGTAGTAAATTCATCTTGTATACAATGCGAGGAAGATTACTTCTTAAATGAAGGAATTTGTTTTTCACTAAAAAACGGTTCTGAAAATCAATCATCAGAACTTCAAATTTCATATTTAAATGTATTAAAAGAAGAAGAAAATAAAGAAATAATTATTGATAATGATACCATTGTCGATAATTGTCAAGAAAGAAGTCGACTTGGTTGTCTTCGTTGTGACGATGGATTTTATCTTTCACATTTAAAGTGTCTTCCATGTGAATACCCCTGTACGTTCTGTTCCAATTTAACATATTGCACAAAATGTGACGATTTTTCTTACACTTTAAAAGGTCATTGTTATGAAGTGAATGAGCTTTTAAACACCTGTGAAATTATGATGTCAACATACGAAGGGTGTGTTCAATGCAAAGAAGGGTATTATCGGTCTTTGAATGGGAAGTTATGCGAAAAATGTGATGTATCGTGTATCACATGTTCTAATGAAGGGAGTTGTTTAATATGTAATGAAAGTTATTACAGAAGACCAAACAACATAACAAAGTATTGCAATCCACAAGATGAACTTTTAAATTGTTTAAATTCAACAACTGATGGTTGTGTTTTGTGCGAGAAAGGATTTGTTCTCAAAGACAATTTATGTGAAAAGTGTAGTGTCAATTGCACTATATGTGACACGACATTTGAATGCTTTGAATGTGAAATAAACAATGTCTTGGTCAACAAACAATGTGTTTATTTCATGTCAATTGATAATTGTGTATCCTCGCACAATTCCCTTTGTAATGAATGTTCTAAAGATTACAAATTGAGTAGTGATGGACTGGAATGTATTAAGAAGATAAATTATGGTGTTATTATTTCAGTACCAATACTCTCACTTATTCTTTTATTGGTCATCACTTTTTTCATTGTATTAATACCAGTCATTGTTATATCCAAACGGAAAGAAAGAAAAAAGAAAGAACGCGTGTGTGTATTTAAGATATCTCGTTCAAATGTTTTAATGAATGATTTAGACAACACGATTCAATCAAACAAAAAGTTGTTGACATTTAATACTGAAGAACAGCTTATCCCAATTGACACAGAGAGTCGTGAATTATTGTGTGTAGGAAACAACAGCAAAGGACTTTTAAAAGTGCAAATCACAACTAAAACAAATTGTGACAAATACACCATTCGTACTGTTCCAAATCTAGTTACACTTAAACATGGGTATGCCTGTGAATTTGAAATCTTTTTGAAGCCTCGATGTACAATGAAACTATGTGATGATATAGTGATTATATCTTTAAATTTAATCAGTGGTGAACAGCACACTTCTTCTTTAAAAATCAATGCAAACACTGAACAATCGACTCGACTTGATTATGATGAATTGGTTGAAGAGAAGATAATTGGTGAAGGATCTTTTGGTATTGTCTACAAAGGGATGTATCGAGGAAATTGTGTTGCAATCAAAAAGATGAAAGAGTCTATCGAATCATCGAAACTTGATGAATTTTCAAGTGAAGTGAACATGTTAGACAAATTCAGGTGTAACTACATTGTCCACTTTTATGGTGCTGTCTTCATACCAAACAAGGTGAGTATGGTCACCGAGTTTGCTCAATATGGCAGTTTACAAGACTTATTAAAGAACAAAAGTAATTCAGAAATCGACATGAAATTACGCATTAAATTTATGTTAGACACATCTCAAGGAATACTCTATTTGCATTCAAATGGGATATTACACAGAGACATTAAGCCAGACAATTTTCTTGTTTATTCCCTCGACTTTAATGACAATGTGAATACCAAACTGACTGATTTTGGCTCGGCTAGAAATGTTAACTTACTTCTAACTAACATGACATTCACAAAAGGTATTGGTACACCAGTGTATATGGCACCTGAAATACTCAAACAAGAAAAATACACAAAAAGCTCTGACATTTATTCGTTTGCTATATCCATGTATGAATGTTTTGGATGGGAAGATGTGTTCCCCAAGTCGATGTTTCCTTTTCCTTGGAAAATTGCAGAGTTTGTGATAAATGGTAGAAGGTTAGAAAAGAAACCTGTGATGTCTGATGCACTCTACAACCTTATAACTTCTTGTTGGGATGCCGACAAATACAACAGACTGTCCATCAACCAAATTGTTGACACCTTATCTTTATTATTCACATGTGAATCTTCATAATTTTCATATTTATTCACTAAATATTCTAACTAATTACTTTGAATTAATTACTTTTTACTAATAACAAATAATTCACAATATTTTTAACTTTGATTCAAATTATATTGTTCAATCTTCATTTAAGAGTAAAAATATAACTACTAATTTGAAATAAAACAATATATACATAATTTTTAAATTTACACATTTTATTTGTTATTTAAATTCACAAACAATTATGATCTTTGTGTTTTGAATTTCGCATAATTGTTGAGTATGGCTAAAATATAATTATTTTTTTGTGTCTCGTTAAATAAAAAAAAACGAAGAAATCTAAATCATTGATGAAATACATATTTCTTTTACTAAATTGTAATTTAAATTGTTTAAAAAAACATTGTTTATATCAATTTGGTTACTTTGATTTTAATAATAAATGATGTTTTTTGTGTTTTTATTGTTATCAAAAAATGTCATAATAATTATTGACAATATTATCTTTATTACAAACTCACACAATTACTTTTTAATTACATTTGTTGTTATATATTTCAGCACAAGTTCTTAACATTCTTTATATTTTAAACTTTTATTTTCACTGTTTAATCAATAATAAGAATTACATCTCAAATCCAATTTGCAAAATTATTGAAAATGGAGACTTTTGTAATAAAATCCATCAGACAAATGACGAGTCTTGTTAATCAAGACACTCTTTTGTCTGCAGTACGTAATTCAAAATTTTGAAATATAAATTCAACATGATAATTTATCATTGAATAATAAATTTGCCGTTTGCAATTATTATAAACTGATCATTTAAAATGACAACATTCATCTTACACATTTTAAATTATTCAAACCTAATAATTTCAAGTGAATGATAGAAATCAATAAAATTGATTTAATTATAGACATAATTGTAAACATTCAAATGCTCTTATTCACACTATTCTCTAAAAATTTAAAAATTCCCAATCGAAAACAAAAATTAATGAGTTCTGTTGATTAAATACATACAAAATAGTATTTTATACTTTGAAGATACGTCGAGTATCAGAAGATTACTCTTCTTTTGAAGAAGACTCAGTCGTATCCTCATCGGAGTCTTCTTCGTTCTTCACATTAAACATCTTATTCTCTAAACACAAAAGTTGTCTCTCAAACCCGGAGTTTGGGCAGATGATCGGCCGTTTGCTCTTGACAAAAGTGAGAGCTTGTCTGTACGTCCACATGTTCTTGAACATCAAATACGCAATAAGTACTGTGCTTGATCTCGATATCCCTGCGTGGCAATGAATAAGCACAGCTCCTCCGTCTTCAAATATTGCGTCAATGAAGTTGAAACACCTTGGGAAGGTCTGGTCGATGGATGCACAGGGGTCGTCGTCGATGGGGATAAATTCGACTTTGATCTTCTTTGACACAACGATTGCCTTAACACCTAAAGAAAGTATGCCCGAGATGTTTCGCGCGAGTAAAACATCTCTTTCGCGAGTCGAGTCCAAAGACCCGAGATATATTTTTTCATTGACTTGACTTGGAGTAATCTGGAAATAGGGAGAAGGGAAGAGGAGGCATTGTGTCATATCGCGATACATTGGCGCGTCGATGTAATTTGTGTTTATCACAAACTCCGAGAGCGACTTGAGTGGTGTGAGTGTGTTATAGTCAAACTGTTTCAGCCTGTTATTTGCTATTTTGAACACTTCTGCGTGTCAGCTAAATATTAAAACGTGTTATGTCAGTCGATGACAAAACGAAGTGATGGAGTAGAACAAACTGACATTCGTAAGTTGCGTAAACATTGTGAAGTCAAACTCTTCAATTAAGTTGTTCGACAAGTCCAAAGAAGTAAGTTGTACCAACGAACTGAGACATTCTAAGCCATCTACTATTTTATTCTGCGATAAGTTAAGACTCTTCAGTTGTGTGATTGTCGTTAAGTTGCGAGGAACAGAGCAAAACTGGTTGTTGCTCAAATCTATTTCTTGTAAATTACTGAACATTGAAAAGACACAGACATCCTTCAACCCGTTTTCTTGAAACACAAAGGACTTCACATCACCTGTTATAAATTGTTGATTAGAAAGATACTTTAACATGTGCTTCAACATGTTCCCGGATGATAGACGTTTCTTTGAGAAGTTGATCCCAACGTCCTTTCGTCGTTGCATTCTCTTCTGTTTTTCGAGTTTACTCCAATAAGTAGCCACTGAACTGGATTCTTTATCTCTTCTTCTTTTTATTATTATATATTAATTTATTAAATTATAATTTATAATTATTTGGATGTTTATATGATGTACTTGAAAAAAGACTTATTTGGTTTGTTTTTTCATTTGTTGAATTACATGCAGAATTTGCCATTTTTTTTGTTCTATAATTATTTTCATTCGTTTTACTATTTAATGTAATATATTTAATTATTTAGTTTAATTAAATATGAATCTATTAATAAAATACTTTTTAAAATGTTTTATAATTGTTTGATTTTATTTAATAACAGTTTTGATTTATTTATTATTTTTTTATTAAAAAACTCTTAATTTTTTATTTATTTTTGTTTTCATTTTTATATAAAGAAACAACAAACAATTATAAACTCAACCACAATTGTAATATATTTTATTAACTATAATTTATAATACAAATTATTTACAGTATAGTTACATCTTTTGATTTAATTAACTATATTTGAACTTATTTAAATGATTATTAATTCTTCAATAAATTGCCAATTTTTTTTAAATTATAACAGTTTTAAATAGTATAAAATATAGTAACAAGTATTAAAATCAGAACTAAAATTTAAAATTGAATTAGCCAAACAGTTTACTTGAGCATTTTGGTTCTATTTGCGACTGCAAGTGTCTCGATACCATTTTTCATGTTTGTACCGATATTCTTGCAGAGTGAGATGAGTTGGTCATCAGCGTCCATATCTCCATTACCCACCGTAGCCGCCTTAACTGAGCACAAGATTTTCAATTGAGTTGACAAGTTCTTTAATGTTTGTAATGAGAGTGCCATATCATCTGCTGTTCTTCTGTCTTTACATATTGGTTGAGCCTTTGCAAGTTCTTTACAGAATTGTGTGATAGCACTTGAGATAGTTCTACCTTCCACGATGATACCTTCCTTATTAGCATTAGCAGCGTTCTTAGCAAGTTCTTTGAAGTGAATAGCGATATCTCCACAGATCGTTGGGACCTCAAATTGTGCGACTTGTTTAGTTCTTCCCGTAGCTTTTGGCTTTGATTCTTCCATTGTCGTTTGTTTAATCATATCAGCAACTCCATTCAACTCCGACTGTAAACTGTTCTTTGGCGCTTCGACTTCGGGTTCGTCTTCAACTTTCATATCACCCAAAACTCCGTCTAAATCAATACCATTCGACATATCATCTAACATGTCATCAAGATGTAAAGCAGCTTTAGCAGCGTCAGAGAGTCCATCCATATTATCGTGGGCTTCATCTTTCACATCCATTTTGAGGCCCTTCATCTTATCAGCCAAGTCCTTAGAGCCCTTAATCAAATTATTTAAGTTGGCTCTCTTCCCCGCTTTAGCTCGAGCCACTATCCCTCGTCCTTTAGCTTTAGCCTTCGCTTGTTCTGTCAAGTCTCCACCCGTCAAATCGTTCAAGTGTGCAGTCATTTCACTGATTTCGTCCATCAATCCCAATTCTTCTGCATTCTCAATGTTGTCCAAAGCAAAGTCGACCTTCTTGAGTAACTCTTCGATCTCTTGTCGAGTCTCTTCATCAAGATTTGGATCATCAAGTTGCTCCTTCAGCATCTTCTTGAGGTTTTCGAGGTTTTCTCTTGCTAATTTGAAGTTCTTGTTCTTCATCGCACTACGAGCTGAAGCGACGTACTTCATGCGATCAGCAGCGCTGTGTTTCTTGTTGATTTTAGTCTTTCCGCCTTTCAACTTCTCTTTCAATTTCTCCAAATCGGCGTTTGCGCCTTCACACGCTATTTGCGAGATGATGATATCACCGTCGTCTCCAGTGTCCAACGCGTTCTTAATTTGTTTCTTTGCTTCTTCGACAGAGTCGTGCGTCGCTTTCTTTTGCTCTTCAAGTTCCTTCTTCTTCGCAGCATTCGACTCTTTCGAGATCTTCTCGTCAATGGACTTCATCAACTCCTCTTCTTCTTGTGTCAACTCGGCTAATGCAGTCTCACCTCCTTCTTTGTCTTTCAAGATACAAGCCTCCTTGCACTTATTCAGCTTCTTCTGAGCCTTCTTGCACTTCGATTTCTGTTTCACATCAAAGTCGTCGTTCATCTTCGCCAGTGCCTTGTCCAGGTCTTTCGAAGCTTTCTCGACGTCGTCTTTAGCCTTCTTATCATCTTTGTTCTTCGCCAATTTCTCGAGTTTCTCGTCGAGGTCTTTAGACTTCTTCTTGACGTCTTCCAACTCCTTTTTAAGCTTCTCTTGCTCCTCTGGTGTCAAGTCTGCATTCTCCAACATTTGCGTGACAGACTCTTCATATGTTTCAGTGTCTTTCGCAAGTTTCTTTCTCAAGTCTTTAATTTTCTTCTCGTTGGGCTCTTTCGCGAGTTTCTCGGCAGCTTTACAGTCTTGTGCGAGTGCATTGGATGCCTCTTCTGCTTTAATTTCATTTGGTTTAGTCAGTAACGCCTTCATTGGTTCTGCTATTTTGCACGACTCTCCTGTTATCTTCTGAGACTCTTTAGCTCGGTCTTTGAGTTTCTTGTCTTTCAGTGCTTTCTCGGCTAAATCAGCATTTTCCTTCGCCTTCTTGTCCATCTCTTCATTCGCCTTTTTAAGTATCTCTCTGTCACCAGCGGGACATCTTTCAATGGCTTTATTGATGACTTCGTCCTTCATCTTTTTCTTCTTTTCAAGCTCTTCAAGCGCATCTTTAACTCCATCCTCATTGCCTTCTTGCATGGCTTCAGTCAACTTGCGTTGTGACTTCACCATATCTTCTATCAACAAATGTGCTTCTTCCTCATCATTAAGTATAATCGCCTCTGTCATGTCTTCTAAATCCTTCAGCGCCTTCATACCTTCCATGTTTTGATTGCCAAATGAGGGTTCGCCTTCTTTCACTAACACCTTGTCGATCGTCTTCTTCGCACGTTCGGCCTTTTCACGTGCACTTTCGACTTTGGAGGGGTCGGACTTCGCTTTATTGACTTCATCAATGAACTTCTGAATGTCATCATAACACTCTTGCGCCATCTTCTTCTTCTCTGCGTCATTCTCCTGCAAACCTTCCTCTTCAAGTGCTTTTTTCAAGTCGTCTTTAACCTTCTTAAGTTCTTTAACAGCTTGATCGACAGCCTTTGGATCTTTCTTTGAGAGCGCAGACTCCACTTTTGAGATCTTTTCTTTAGCCTTTTGTCCTTGTCTAGATCCCTCTTTAGTTGGTCTGTCGTACTCTTGTCTAATATCGTTACATGTTTCATTCAACTCATCTAAAGCAGCCTCCGCCTCTGCAATCGACTTTGGATCTTTACTCTTCTGTGCAGCTTTCACTTTCTCTTCCGCTTCTTTATGAGCCTTTTTCACCTTCTCCGCAAGCTCTTTAGCTTGTTTGTTATCGCCATGAGAGTCACTACTTTCAAGTGCTTTAATTAAGTCCTCCGAGTCTTCCTTCATACTCTTCATAGCGTCATTAGTAATTTGGTCGTTGTTCTCATAAAGGCCTTCTTTAGCTTTTGTAGTGTCATTCTTGACCTTCTTGACATCGTTCAAGACTTCCTCATCTCTTTTGTCCTTTGCTTTGACAGTCAAGTTCTCTCCATTTGCTACAATGGCTTCGTCACATTTCTCCATCGCTTTCTCAACAGACTTTCTCGCCTTCTCTTTCTTAGCTTTGTTCTCCGGATCTTTGAAATACCCGTCACACTCTTCCACAGACGCTTTAACAGTTTCATCAAGTTCTTTCGCCAAGGCATCCTTCTCTTTTGTCTTGTCTTTCTCCATTAACTGTTTTACAATCTTTTCCTCTTCAAGAGCATCCTTCTTTGCTTCTTCATACGCGTCTTTGTCATTCTTTAATACAGCCTCGTCCATCTTGTGAAGCTTTTCTTTCAACTTCTTCGAGTGCTTTGCAGACTCTTTGACCGGTTTCCCTTCTTCTTTTAATACTTCGTTGCAACAACTCTCAAGTTCGTCCAACTTCTTTTCTGCGTTTTTCTTCGCCTTTTTGTCTTCGGGGTGTTCTTTAACTTTGCGAACAGCTTCTTCACTCTCTTGTGTGAGAACCTCAGCCCTTTTCAATAAATCTTGAAGCTTAACGTTTTCTTTTGTCGATGGAGACTCTTTCAAGGACTTCACAAACTTCTCGTTGTCTTTTTTAAGATCCTCAAGCTCTTCTTCTATAAGAACTGCATCTTCTTGGTCCATCGCATTCTTTGTCTTGTCGCAATCCTTTTTGACTTCACGAGAGGCCTTGCAGACTTCCTTGTCCTTGCCCTTTGACACGTCCGAAATGGGTTCGCCATTTTTGAGTAAGACGTCGTCCAACTTGTCTCTCAATTTCTCAAACTTCTCATTCACGTCTTTGTCCTTCTTCTTCTCTTTATCTTGATATCCATCGTTCATGGTCTTAACACATTCTACCACACAATCGTTGATTTCTTTGGCTTTCTTCCCTTGTCCGTCCTTTTCAAGTTCTTTCACCAAGTCACTAGCATCTTTAACCATTTCTTTATTATTCTTATTATAAGCATCCGCGTCTCTATCTTCATATGCAGTTTGTGTCTTTTTAGTTGCTTCTTTGACCTTTCTAGCCTTCTTCCCAGCCTCTTTGGTGGGTTTGCCGCAGTCGACTAATACTGAGTCACAAGTCGAGTCTAACTTCTCCAACTTCTCTTCCGCCTCCTTCATGTCTTCCGCCTTTCCAGTTTGTTTCGCTTTTCGAATGGCCTCAAGAGCTTCGGCTAACTCAGTGTCTGCCTTTTTCAACTCATCAGTGTGTTTACGTCCACTCTTTCTTGCATCTTCCTTCATCTTTTCAACCATTTCCTTCTCGTTTTCTTCTAATTCAATCATCGCATCGGCAAGTTCAGTGGGGTCGTCGTCGTACATCGCCATTTTAGTCTTTGAAATCGCTCCCTTAGTCTTCTGTGCACTCTTCGCGAGTTCTTTACCCGCCTTTTCTTCTTCAGAGACTTTTTCCTTCTTATCTTCTCCACTCAAATTCTCTTTGCATTTCTTAATTGAGTCCAACGCCTTTTTCTTCTTCTCAGCATTCTTGGCGTCTCTTGCAGAAGCAATTGTATCGTTCTGTGCTTCTTTGACTAATTGCGTGAGTTGGTCAACATTCTGCCCGTCCTTTTCTTTCTCCTTTTTAAGCTTGTCCATATCCTTTTGAAGCTTCGAAGAGCCTTCTTTGACCTTCTCTTGGTCATTGTTCTCAAGACCAGACTGAATCTTTTGTAAGTCATCTTCGACTTTCTTTTGTTGTTTGTCAGACTCCGTCTGTCCTTTGCCTTCCTTGGAAAGGACCTCATTCAAACTTTCAGTGTATTTGTCTAACTTCTCTTCGGCCTTTTGACGCGCTTCTTTGTCTTTTGGATCCTTTTTGGCCTTTTTAACAGCTTCAAATGCGTCCTCGTACTCTTCCTTCGCCTTCTTGACATCTTCGATGTCTTCTTTGCGGCCAGACTTCTTCGCCTCTTCCGCCATTTTGCGTAACATCTCATCTTGTGCTTCGTCCAACTCGATCATAGCATCACCAAGCTCTTCCATGTCACCATCAATTAACGCGTCTTTGGCCTTCTTCGCCTTTTCTCGAGTCTTCTTAGTCTTTGTGACTAACTCGCTGTCTGGCTTCTCTTTTGTCACAACCTTCATCTCTTCTGGAGTGGCTTTACACTCTCGGAGTAAGTCATCTATGGCAGAGATAAACTCATCAACAGACTTCCCTGCTTGTTCCTTCTTCTTCTCGTCTTTAGAATCTTTGATGAACTGATTTGAGTCGTTAATAGCGGGAACAAGTTTCTTCTGTAAAGTGTCGGCTTTAGCGTTCACCACTGGGTCTTTGCTCTTGCTCTTAATTTTCGGAACAGCTTCTTTTGTCTTCAAAAGAGTTTCTTTCGCGTTTTTGGCTGTTGCAGATGCATTTCCATTGGCAACAGACTCTTGGAGTTCAAGAGCCTCTTCTTTAAGAGACAAAAGTTCTTTAATAGCTTCGTCTTGTCTTGGCTTCTCTGAAAGTAACTTCTCTGCTTGTTTCTTTGATACTCCTTCAGCTACAAGAGCGTCTTCTAAGTCTTCTTTCAACTTCTTAATAGACTCTTTGGCCTTTTCCTTCTTCTCTTTGTTTTGTTTGTCAGCCAATGAAGCCTTCGAGTCGTTGACTGCTGGCGCCAAGTCTTCTCCCATCTTTTCAGCAACTTTTTTCTTCTTGACGTCCTTCTCTTTGACTGCTTCTTGTCCGATCAATTGTGCAGTCGATTGGACATCAGAAATCACTGGTTTAGCACTCGTCACAAAGGCGTTGTTGTCTCCATTCTCGACAGCGTATTCCATAGCATCTAAGTCTTGATATTCCTTCTTCAACTTCTCTACTTTGTCCTTCTTCTCTTTCATCAACGACTTCACTGCTTCTTCAGACCTCTTCTCAAGTTCTTCATCATCTCCTTCGATAATCGCGTCATCAATTTGTGGTTCTTCTGGGACGTTTTTACATCCAAGTTGGTCCAATTGTTCAACAATTTTGGCTCTTTCAGTCTTATACTGTGAGAGCGCAGCGTCCTTCTTCTCTTCATTTTCAGGCTCTGCAAACGCCGTCTTCCCACCTTCTACGAACTCGGAGAAGCATTCCTTAATCTCCTTTGCGCGTTCCTCTCCACCGGGAATGTTTTCATTTCTCGCGTCCGCTATTCTTCCATCGACAAATTTAGGGACGTCTTGCATATTCTCATTCGCAGCTGTCACAAAGTCCTTTGGATTATTCCAGAAGACGGCCTCACCCATCTTATCCAAGTTATCTAAGACAGCAAGACCTCTTTGGATCTGTTCTTCTTTTGGTACAAGAGGCTTTGCATTTTTAATGGTGTCGTCGATCTGCCTGTTTCGTGTTGCAGTTTGGTCGTTCAAGGCTTCTTGTTGTTTCTTAACGATTTCGTGACTCTTTGCAACTCGGGTCTTAGCCTTTTCCATCTCCTTCAACAAATCTTGTTTTGCCTTTTCGACGGCTTCTTTCAAAGCTTCATTGTCAGGGTCTTCTAAATAAGCATTGACTGCGTCTAAAAGTGCATTAGAAAGCGTCTGAATGTTCTCTGCTATTTCATTCATCTCAGCTTTGTCTGAAGGAACGGCTTCGCCTTCAGCTTGTGATTTCATATCTTCCGAAATCTGTAAACCACAACTGCAAAGGTCGCCCGCCATATCAGCATACTTCTGGGGGTCCTCGTCAAACAACTGAGAGTTCAGTTGTTCCGCAAGTTTGTTCAAGTTCTCTTGTTCGTTCGCTAATTTCTTGAATGAAGCGCCGTAGACTATTTGGAGCAATTTGATGCAATTGGTCCCACACAGTCTGCATCCATCGACTAATTGTTGATACCCTTCTCTTAAATTAGACGTCTTCAAGTTCTTTGCAGCTGAAGTTAAGTTATCTGCGCCATCAAAGACTTCACCAGAGGCATCTAAAATTTCCTTTTGAATCTCGGGGAAGTCGGCATAGTCTTCCTCCGCAAGCTCTTTAGAGATGTTTCCGATATTAGTTGATTGCTCGGCAACACTTTGAATTGACGCCTGCATCTCTGGTTTTGGTGGTTTGTTCTTTTCTTGAAGGGCAACTAACATCAAAACTAATGAAGAGACACTGTCCGCAAAAATTTCGCTGACCTCCTCTGCGCTTTGTAATAAACTTTGATTGTCTTCACCACTTTCACTCATTTTTTTGATGACTTCGAGTCTCACTTCCTTTTCAGTTCAACCCAAAAAAAGAACTTAATTTGGATACTTGGAGGTTTTATTATGAGTTTTCAGAGTCTTTTTATCGGTATTATTATCTCTTTGGTAAATGACGTGGTTGTATTTGGTTGTATTTTCGCAGAATTTCAGCAGTTCTTTACGAACAGAAGCACCATCTTGAAATTGTGTAATTACTTCCTTAAACATTTTATCACCGCAAACTTATAAAATACAACTCTTCAAAGTTTTAATATGTTATTCGTTTAACCTTTCTTTGAGAGAAGAGTTTTAAGTAATATTGTACTTGAATAATACCAGGACTTAATAAATGATTTCAAAACAAAAAAATTGAAAAACTCCAAATTATTACTCGTCCATTTTTATCCTTTTAAATAAAACAGTTCCTATCTATTTGCATTTTTTGTTTACTTTTAAACTTTATTTAAAATGTTTTAGCTTTTTTTAAAAACAAAAACAATTTTATCATTTTGGAAATATTTTTCAATTAACTTTTATTTAAAAATACGTTTCATTTTTTGTTATTAAGTTCTATGATTTAAATTATAATTATTTAAAAATATACCATATTTAAACCTGTAAATTTTATTAGCCTAAATTATATTGAAATAATTTAAAATATTATTTTTGTTATGATCAAAAATGTTATTAATTTTGTTATTCATGTTTAAAAATTAAATTACAAATTCATATAAATTATACTATATAAAAACAACTATACATATAACCAATAACAAATTATAAAAGAATTAAAATGATAACCCCACATAAGTGAATCGAATTAGTCTTGTTTTGGTTTCTCTCCTTCTTTTGGTGCTTCAGTCTTTTGTTCGACTGGTTTTTCCTCTTTCTTTCCCGCCTTTGGGCTTTCACTCTTTTTGACTTTGCCGTTTTCCTCTGCTTCAGTTGGTTGAGCTTTTGGTGTGAAGAATCCCTTTGATCTCAAAATTTTGTTCTGCTTTTCTGTGCTTCTGTTTTGATAAGTAATCCACACAAGTGCGATAACACAGCCGACGAATACGATAACAGCCCATTCCATGAGAATGGCAAAGAAGCCTTTATATTGGGTGATATAGTACTCTCCCATAGCATATGACTCTTCATGTCTTCTTGTGCCGTTCATAGTGAAGTTGACTGACGCTGAATCGACGAAGTGAATACCAGACAAAATTGGTTGGACGACGTAAGTCAAATTGACAGTTGCGTTGACTGGGACAAGGTCGAAGACAGCAGTGTTATTCTCTCCTTCGAACAATTTGAAGAAGGCTGGGAGCTCGTCGTAAATAACAACATTAGTGATATTGTCGGGACCCGGGTTTGTCACAGAGACAGTAATTGTGATGTTTGTGTCCGTGACCAAATCGTCCTCCGAAAGGTCTTTTGTCATATTCAAGATAGAGACCTGTCGTTCGTCTGGAGTTTCGATTACAGGTTCTTCTGCGTAAGCCAACGAAAGGGCAAGGAACACAAGGAGGAATTTCATCTTTCTTTTTTCAAGTTCTTCAAGTTTCTTTTTGGGAGGGATCTTGGAAATTCCACCACTTTTATTATAAGCCATGTCCGCTGTTAATGCCTCTCAAGTAAAATTCGTCACCAACTTTATAGTTGTTTTATAGCATTTTTAATACATATTTTACTATATTATTGATTATGTTTTTATTCATACGGCATTCGAGGACTTTCTTCACAAATATTTGAAATGATATGTATAACATTTTTACTATATAATATAGTACTTTTTTGAACCAAAAAAGTGTTTTAAAAAAAGAAATATTCGAGGAGAAAATGCCCGAAAACAAACACCAAATTTCCGTGTTAATTATTAGAGAATAAAAAAAGGACTGATGAGTGTTAAATAGTCTTTTGATGTTTTCTACGAAAAAATGAAATGCGTCACTCTTATTGAATGATCATATCTTTAATACTCGACTTTATTCATTTAACATGGTAAAGAAAAACATACTTTAAAATACCAATTTAAAGAACTTTCAGTTACACTCAATGTTGATTCGCCTTTGAAATTATTAAGAAGTGTTTCTTCAATAATTCATCATCAATTTCTTTATGGAACTTAAAAAGAAGTTAATGGAGTCCATCATGAATGGTGGTCGCCCGCACTTAGAAAAAGCACCTGCGGTGCTTTATGCTGTTGTTTCATTTCTTTTCATTTCAACGACATACATCAACATCAAGATGTCGTCAGTCAGCACATTATTTCTATTACTTCGTATACCCGTCTGGATCCTTGAAGTCCTCATCGGCTTCTTAATGCTCAAAATCCATTACACCGATCCGCACTCAAAAGACTATTCGAAGTATAAATGTTACGTCGGACCCCCTCGCAAAATTTTTATGCAGAGCACTTCGAACATCAAACGTCTTGAGACCAACCAAATAGACGACACTGTTTTTTATAACCCGGATAATGCACTCGACTTTTGCTTAGAGTGTCAAACAGTGAAGTACCCTCGTGTGACACATTGTGACATATGTAATACGTTTGTTTCTTATTAATATATTATGTTTCTAATTCGAACTCAATGGAATAATTTAAAATAAGTTGAACACTTCTATTAATAGATTTCATGGTGAAATGGCACTTTATTAGGTACATATATCTATGGAGAACATTGAACACTTGATTGACTAATAGTTGTATATTAAGATATGACCATCACGACACTATACTCGAGACTTGTATAGGTCAACACAACTACGCAATGTACTACGTGTATGTCTTGGGTGTCGTTATTGTCACTGGAATCAATTGTATCCTCTTTTTCGTCAACCAATTTTGTGCGATGCTCTTTGACTTCCGTTTGCTGTTCCTCAGCTTCCTATTTGCAAACGCTTCACTCCTCTTTTTGTATTACCGAAAATTGTACCTTTTAATATACCAACTCCAACATAACTTCACACAAGCCGAATCGGAAAAATTCCAGAACAGCAGACTCATTCGATGCCCATATCACTACGACACCGGGGATATCACACTGAATGTCAGAGACGCCTTTTATTGATTTGTTTTGTAGTTTTTGAAGTGGTTTAGAACGGAGAGATGACGAGATACTCAATTAGGAGTGCATTCTTTGTGATAAGGAACACCATTGATTTTGTAGTACTCCCCAACAATTGGATTTGAACACCGCCCACACTTTGGCTGCTTCTTTAACATACATGTTTTGCACATCATTTCATGTTTGTGTTCGTAAATGTCTGAAGTCGAGTATAATCGACATCCACACTTGTAACACTTCATACATCTCTCGTGGTAATTTTTGCCAAAGATTACTTTGTATGACTCACCGCCTTCAAAATGTGATTTGCAGATGTGACACTTTTTGGATGAAGATGTTGAAAACAGTGGTGTTGATTTTGCTTCCTTTTTCTTGTGTGTGGAACTTCCTGTCGACAGAAAACTTGGAAGCAAATTTTCTGTCATTGCACTTTTAGCACTCTGTTTCGATATTTGAATTTCAACTTCCGTGTTTGTTGCTCGGTATGGTTGCGATGGTTTGTACTCCTTTCGAACTTGTTGATCACGTTTTTCACACGCCGACTTTGTCGATGAGAAAGTTGATGGCTTTGAGTATGACGTTTGTTGTTGTTGGCGTGGAGAGTATGAGCTAGTTTCTCGAGACGCAGAACAAATTGGTTTTTCTGCTTTTGGGTTAGTTGCCTTCACCTATCTCTGAGCACCAATCAATATATTTCTTTGTTATTTAAGATGTTAAAAATGACAAACGAAAGTTGTTGGTGTGCTTTGTTGTTGTGTTTTGTAAGTTGTTGGGGGTTTATATGACTTTACTGGTTCTGGTGATTTTTTGACTGCTGGTGTTGTCTCTGGCACTTTAGTACCACAGTGAGTGCAGAATTTAGTTCCGTTGACCCACTTACCACAATTGACGCAGTATCCGCACATCTAAAAATGTTATGAAAAATGGAGTTTAAAGAGGTACAACTTTGTTTTAGTTCTTTAAGAAATTTATATATTAAATAAGCCCGTCTAATTCCTTATCTTTAGCGTATTACAACCACTTCATAGTTTTCAAAACGAATTTAAAACATCGAAAACTTTTTTTCGATTTTTTTTAAATTGACGAAAAAAATGTTATACAAAAAAAATGTTTTGCAAAGAAGTGATGAACAAAAGATATTCTTAAAGAGTAGGAGGTAGTGGCTGGAATGCAGGGAACGTCATAAAATGGCTTCTTGTCTTCTCGAGCAGCCCCGACGATATTCGGATGCTTTTGAACTCTCCATACAACACAGAAGCAAAAACAGCAAGCACCAGTCCTCCAAAAAGTTCGAGTAAAACGCTACTAGGTATCGCCTTTTCAATCCCTGTTTTTTGTACGTGGTGGTGTACTATTTGTTATTTTTTATTCCTTTTCACTTAAGTCTTATATTCATTGTGTCAAAAAGTTTCGATTTGCTTAAAATTTGTTCGAGATGCGTTGTTAAAAACAAACGAATATGAATTTGATATGCACCGTGGAGAAGTGCGGAGAACGCGACAACGAGGAGGGAGGTAATTAAGACTCTCATCGAGTTTTTGAGATCAACTAGGGTTTCTTCTCTCCGTAACTAAAATAACACAAAAAATGAATAAAAATCACACGAGTTTCTGTTTGAGGATCTCTTCTGCCTTATCCAACACATCGCCGTAGTACTTTTGCCTCTTCGAGAGTGCGTCCAATTCTTTCTTCGTCTTTTCAAGCTCCCTTTTGAGTTCGCTGTTGTCCATCTCAACAAGCGCCTTTTTCTGTTGAAGTGCAAAGACTTCGTGAATGATCTCTTTCGCTGTCACTTCCTTCTGAATGTCCAGAGCTCCACGAAGCGCAAAGAAGATGTTGTTTTGGTTGTTTTTCATCCTAATCATTGCTTCTTTAAATTGAGTCACTATCCGACTATCTAATTGCATCTGTTTGTCCAATCGTTCTTTGAGTACTTCATAGTCGTCGTGTATTGACTTTGGACTGCATGTCATCTGCACACGCTTCACTTCGTTCTCGACTTTCTCGATGCTTTCCTGGACTTTTTGAATCTCGAGAGAGTGGAACGATTGTGAAGATTGATGTTGTGTATCGAGTTTTTCACTCAAGTGTTGTATTTGAAGCAAAAGGGTGTCTTCTTTCTCGTTCTTGGTTTTTATTTGTGACAATTCACTTTTGAGAACATTGATTGCATCGGACTGCTCTTCAACCTTCTCAGTCATGTTCATAAGTTTCTCCTTCAAGCACTCATTCTCACTTGTCAACCTAGTCACAGTCGAATTCAATTGTTCTTCTCTGGTCGCTCCGTCTTTCGAAATAGAATACATTTTGTCATGTTCTTTCTGAAGAGTCATTAAAGCAGACTCTGCAGACTGTCTCTTTTTTTCTTCTGAGTCTAGTTTGGTTTTCAAATCAAGAACTTCGACAGTAAGCTCCGACAATTTGGCCTGGTAATTTCGAGTGTTATCAACCAAGTCGCCTATGGACATGCGCGAGTACTCAGAAGTTTCCCTCAGCGACTTCATTTGATACTTTTTCAGATTGATTCTCTGTTTTAATTCCACAGAGAGTCTCAACACCATCTATTCTATTTTAAAAACAGACACCATTTTTTAGCTGGTTTCCATATTTGTTATTCCGCATCTGCTTTTCAAAAATTAAAAACTGTCCATTAAAAAGACGATACTCTGTTGGTTTTAATGAATGATTTTACATTTCTAGCACTTCTTTCAAAGACAAATGAAAAGGAATAAAATGGACTAAAAAATTTGTGAGTAAAAATAACTAAACGACTACACACTTTGAACCGTCTGACACGGACTTTGCCACGGGTTCTGGGAAGTCTGGTGACGAGACAATTAGACTTTCTCTGACATTCTCTTTGTTTTGGTAATTGATGTTCTTCAAATTAGCGCAATACCCAATGGTGAGTTTAAACACACTCTTTGGTACTGTGATTTGTGCCACTCCGTCGCAGTTCAACAAACAGACTTCCGTCGCAAACGGTGGGATATTAATTCCAGGATTATTATTGTACTCGACATCAAACGTGCTTACTGAACAATTTGCGTCCCATTCAAACGCTGTGACATTTATCGCGTCACCGACCAGTTTCAGTTCTTCAAGTTGAGCAAACGTCTTTGTGTTTGCAATTTGGATGGTCCCACCGAAGACATACAAACTCTTCAAGTTCTTTGGGATAGTGATGTTAGTCGACTGACTAAAAATGATTCTGAGTTTAGTGAGAGTCTCAGGGAAGACAAAGTTTTTGATGGTCGAATTCTTGACTTCGACTTCAGTGAGGAAGGAGAAGCCGCTGATAGTTTGGAAGATGTTATCCGTCTCCATTTTGTTGAGTTCTATTGCGCACGAGAACAACAACACGGAGTTGGGTACTTTCTCGTTCTTTTCAAACTTGACGGTGGGGACCAAGTACTTTCGATACAAATTGTCATCAAACACTGAAGAGATCCGACGTGCAAGGAAGATCAAGTTATACCCAAATTGCGTCTCGGAGCAATTGACCACATTCCCTTTTATTGGTTCGTCTGTAGTGATCGGAATGTTATTCTTATACACTATAATCCACTTCGTTTTACTCTTCAGAGTCGATAACAGTGTGTTCAGTGATGTGTACATCTTTCCTTCGATCCCTTCAAGGCGGACTTTGTCCAATTTCAGTGTTATTATTCTGTTAATAAAGGGGATTGGGTCTGTGTAGATATTGAACATGAAATACGCCTCCCTTATATCAGGGAATTTGTCAATGACGTCCACAGACGTTGTATTGATTTGAATTTTTGCAAATTTGATGTTATGTGTTTGTTTAGGACATGTCTCTGAGTATGTCAGAGACCGGAAATTTTGGACAGTGGAGTTGTAACACTCAAACGGAGCTTCTAATGTCTCCAGCTTCGGAAGCATCTTCATAAAGAATGAAACATCACCCTTCACCATCTTCCCATTGAATGTTGGGTTGATGTGAAGCATTTTAAATGCTTCACAACAACTCTTTGAAACACATAAAAAGAACTCGAGTGTATGGCGGTTGTGTAGAAATAGTGCAACATTCATCAAATAAACCTTTTCGAGGCGGCCCATCAAACAGTTTGATTTTCGAGTTGGCAGAGTCTGTTTATTGATAAACGATTGGTATTATTCCTCTTTGTTATTTTTCAATTCAAAACGGGAAACTGTTTTTTGAATGTTGTGGTTGTGAATATTTTGAAAGTGCACATTTTTATTATTTAATAAAGTTTATGAATGTATATTTATTTTGTTCTTTTTTACCATATATTTTAGTATAATAACCATGATATTATAGATTAAATAATAAAAAACAACAATTGTTTTTAACAAAGATATTTTGATTTTGATTAAGTTTTTTGGTGTTTTTTAATATGTTTTGGTGTTAATAAATTATACTATGATATTATTAAATTATTAACTAATTAAAAAAGTTTAAATTACAAACGGAAAAAAATATTCTTGCCGTTTTGACATATTATAGATTATTAACTAAAAAGTAACCATATTTTTATTAAAAAACAAATATGATCTATAAAGGTATGAAGTCGCAACCCAAAAATTTTGCCGAGTTAAGTGTTAGAGGGGGATTTTTATCCCAAAAACGTATTTACAAAAAATACTAAAATATTGTCCCGGTTTAATACAAAAATTAAAAACATTTTAAAACTGATTAAAAAACAACTAAAATAAATTGTTTTGTTTTAATTTTGTAAAAACAATATAAAATAATTCAAACTTTAATTGCAAAAAACGCCAAATTCAATATTATCAAAAAGACAAACGTGTTTTTTATTTACCATATATTATTAAAAAATATTGTTATGTCAACAATTTTTATTATAAAGAGTGTTAACGTGATAGACCACTTTTGTGTGGATGGCTTTGAAAATCTTACACATTTTTGTTGTAATTGATATAAAATTTGCCTAAGAGTTTACAAAAAAATGGGTATTTTGGACCGAATTCATAAAAAACCGATTTTTTTGAAAGTTAAAACAGAAAAAACAAATTTTATTTTTAGTCAAAGTCATCTTTTACTTTTACCATTTAAACGAATTTGCCGCAAAAAAAAATATTTTTGTTAAAATTTTAAGACTAAAGTTTTTTATTAATTAACTTTAGTTTATTTAATTAATTGTATAAACTATATTCAATCTAAAAAATTATTGAAATGGGACCTACATTGACCACCACCACCTCTTAAAATAGATTTATTTTTTCTATTTCGAATCATATTCAAATTAAAATTATAGTAAATAGGAAAATGGGAAGATATTAGGTCTGGTTCCCGAATTCAAGAAATGCCGAAAATACACCTCGAGTCAGTGGAAACCGAGAGAGACGGACAAGGAAAAGAAGGCTCATAAAGACGCACTCAAACAGTCTGTTTGTGCACCGTTTCACCCACTTTCCAAGTCCTCCCTTGGCGCGGATCCCCCCTGACCCCCCCGCAAGCGGGGGGGAACCACATCCGCGTCCACACAGTACGGACAAGGAAAGTGGGTGACATGGGGACGCACAAACAGTGGCTGAAAAGTGGACTTCCTTCAAAAAACACTCGCGGCAAATATTTTTTTTTGGTAAAGGTGGTGGTGGTCAATGTAGGTCCCTATTGAAATTGAATAATTTATAAAATAACATATAATTTGTCATAAGATACAATGGCATAGTTTACTGTGGATTGGCTGAAAAGGTGTGGATGGTAAATATAGATTGACAATCTTCATTATTACATGTTAAATGTAATGAGTGACATGACTTGTTTTTTTTAATGGTTTTTGTTGGTATTTGCCGTATGTTTCTATTCTAATTAATATGTATTGTTATGATTTTTTAATAACATAAAAAATAACTTATTGTTACAATGTGGTAATTTGCCATTTAACTTTTTAAGGTTTTTATAGTAAAAATTACATTTTATTTAACTATGTTAATAGAATTTGTTTTGTGTTTATTTTGTCATTTTTATGTTAATTAATAATGTACTATTGTAATATAATTGATTGTTATTGATTAATAGTTTAGTTTAGACATAAAACCTTTGTCTTTAACATTTTCAACAAAACCAGAATATAATTTAGGATGTAAAAACCGTATTTATACGTATAATTTGCGCCAACTAAAAGTCATTATTTAACACATTTCAATTCCCAAATATTATTATTAAAATAATAAACTAATGGAGTGTTTATATAAATTACAATACTATTAGTAAAATGTGATAATTAATGCATTTTTGAGCTACGATTAACGAAAAAATAATATAATTGTTAATTGATATTTAAATAAATATTTTTTAATGCAAAAACGGGAATTTTTTCAAATTTAAATCACATAAATCACTTTTGAAATGTTTTTTCAATTAAAAAAACGAAAAAAATAGTGTTAGATGTATCAAATAAACGGGATAATACGAGTGAATTTTGTTAGTTATTTTATTTGTTCATTTTGATCTATTCTTATTTTACCACTCCAAAAAAAGGCTGAAAATAGCGTTTTTTCTTACTATGAAATTATTGCAAATATTGGAAATACTCCTTATGGGGGTATTTATGTTTGTGTATCATTTTTGTCCCATAAATGATCATAAATAACAATTATTAATTTTAAAAATCATAACATATGGTTTAAAACAAATATTTGAATTTTTTCGACAAAAAAATTAGAGGCAATCCACACAAAATAATCCAATCCGCAGGGATTCACCATTTCCGTGTGGATACGCCCTATCACGTTAACACTCTTAAATATCAGGGCTGCAAAATTTAACAAATAACACAATTTTTATTAAAAATGTTTTACACTTTGTTCGAATCGAAGTTCTACCAAAATCTTCAACTAATTGATGGAAAACAACCAATTTATATGACCCCTATAGTTGGATTCAGAAATATACTAACTCAAGTCAAAAATGATCATTTAGATGTTGAATAACAATAGGAAGTGTTAAGAGAGATAGATTAAAAGGTCTTTGTCACTTTTGTCTCTCTCTATATACTCGTTGTCGATCAAATACTCAAGAGCCTTACGAAGGAGTCTTGAGTCAGGCACAAACGTCTTCTTGACTTGATCGTTTGTGAGTCTGATCAAGTCCTGGTGTGTGATCTTTTTGTGACGTTTCATCAGCCTGACTTGCACTCCGACAATAGTTTGAAATCGTTTTTCTTCGACTTCCGCTTTTTCATCAATGACGTCGGACGGTAAGTTCTTCTTTTTCTGCGTCATCTGTACGATGATGACATCACCCTTGAACTCGCTGACGGGATATATTGAATTCTCTTTTCGTGTTATTAACTTAGCGCTCTCAAGGTCACCACAGAAGTTGTCCAAACTTTCCGAGTCGATATTATACTTTTTAGCAACGTCGTTCATCACCGTTTCCCCCTCTTTGAATATCATATAATGTGGTAACGGCATCTCAATTGTCATCTTCCCGCTTTTAAGAAACACTGTGCTTGATGTCTCGCATAACACCAATTTTCTCTTCTCGTGTATTCTTGCATACTGTGTGATGATGATTTTCCAAATATCCTCTATTTCGCTCGGAAGAGTCAAGCTCAGTGGTCTTTGAAAGAGTTGTTGCAGCGAAAATATATTCACTTTTGTCTGTAAAGGAACTAAGTTCTTTATTTTCTCTGTAAACACTCTCGAGGTCTGTAACTCGTTCAGGACTTGGAGTATTGGGTGTGTGAGTGTATTACCAATCAACCCAGTGAGTGTAGTCAAGAAGAAGTTGTTTGTGTCCAATGAGATTTGGTCGTCGTAAATTACTCTCTTTGACAAACACTTTCTGTAATGTAAAAGCATGACATCTTTGTTGTCCAGAAGTCCTATCAATTTGCATATTGTAGTAACTTCTTGTGATGTACAAAAAGACGACAACACGTGATCCAAATACACTGCAAAGTTGATTGGAAGTTGCTCGGAAAGTTTCTGCGGCAACGTCAAAAACCCCATCGACACTCCTCGCTTAAAGAGTCGAACCA